CAGGGCAGGTCATGGGCCAGGGTACAGAGAGGAACCAGGGTCCAATCCAAAAGTCAGGGTTTCCAGAAAGCAGGTGTTCCAAGACCAGTCTAGGGTCAAGTGATTTAGGCAGCAAGTCAAGGTGCCAGCAGTCTGGTAACAGCAAGGTCAGTGGTTCAGCAACATTGTGTACTTGTTGTGTCCATGAAACTCCTGCTTGTCCTGACTGATTTTATAGCCAAGTCTTAACAAGCTACACTCCCAGCCAATTCCTTGGCAGTCATCCTGAAACCGCTCATCCATCTCGTCAGTTGACAGCTGACAATGGGCCATGAGTCTCACACTCTTCCTTTCCTGCAACTCAGCTTGCCTCTGACAGCATTGGCGCTGGAGGGGTGTGGATGAGCCAGATGGGCTGAGAGTGGCTTCTGAAGCCTTGTTTACTGCTTCAGAGCTACATTGGCTGGTTTCAGCTGTAGGATGTGGCTCCTGCTCAGCCGATAACCTGATCTCTTGTTGCTCTTCTCCTGGCTGAGGGCCAGCCGCAGGTAACTCTTCCTCTGCGGAATCTGTGCTGTCACTGAGCACAGACTATGACACTGGTGAGTTGTTACCAGTCAGAGTAGACAAGGCTGACCTTGAGAAGACCCATGGTCTGACTTAGTAGAAGGCAGCTTCGTGGATTCAGATCCTTTTGTTTACTTATTTCTTTTTCCCCACACAGCTTTGGTCATGTGGATATCATTTTACTTAAACTACTAAAATAATAAAGCTCTTTGCAGGAGAGAGCAGTGCTGCTGGCAGTCAGTACTATTTTGTAAGGGCCTAAGACAAGTGAGAGAAGTAGATTTGTGGATTCTTTATAGTTCTTGAAAAGGGCATATTAGTTACCGTAACCTAATTTTCTAAGCCAAACATGCCCCATTCCTTCCTGCGCATGCAATATGTTTGGTCTGCAGGGAAAGAAACCGTACCAAGTTTTGCTCACTCACCTTGATTGTTCCCTGGACTACAAACAGGGTCTGAACTTGTATGCTGAGCACTTCCTATATGATCATGGTAACATCCAAGGTGAAATGCATGCCAGCGAGTGGCCGGACCACCACAGTGTGGATGAAGAAAGAAATATGTATGAGATCTCTGGCAGAGCCAGTGATGATGGGTCAGACGATGTATATCTTGGAGGAGATGGCTACCAAGCACCAAACCACTACCCCCAGGATAATACATACCATCTTCCAGAAAACTTTAAACCGTCATACACGAATGGGCACCAGCAGGATTTCAGTAACCAGCACAAAACAGCCAACCTGGTGGATACCAAGAAAGAACACATGAAGGTATGTGGGCTGTTGATGAAATGGTGAAAATGCTAAAAGGTATTTATGGTGGTAAAAGTCTGCATTTGAGTCCTGTTACCAAAATACAGGATATGTGCATATGCGAAGGACAAGGAACGTTGGGGGGTAGTGTCTTTAGACCTTTCTAAAGAGGCACTACAAGGCTTTGAGGCCCCGCCTGCTTATGCCTACTGTCTAGCCAACTGCTTCTTCAGGCCTCAGAATGGGAGGGGAGGGGTTGCATCACTTGGTTCCTCCTCCTCCTCCCAACTGGATGTCACCCTTTAACAACCTTAGATAGCCAATCTTTTCTTCCTCCCTGCTCTGTTTCATTGGACCTCCTTTTATACCCCAGCCCAGTCCTTCCTGGGCTACAGGCAACCCCCAGCCACCCTTCTTGCCTTTCCCCAAGGCTATTTTCCCATTGGCCCTCTGTTCCCTGAGTGTCTTCCCTTCCAATTACCCCTCACCTGGGTCACCCTCACACTGCCGCCTTAGTTTGGGGCGGCAGGTTGTTTCTGATGGGGGAGGCTGACGCTTGTTGCAGGCACTTGCCTAGTCCAGGTTCTGGAGTGAGAATTTGTGGACATGTGTGTTCGAAGAGGAAAAGTGAATCTTATACATGTATTTCCTCTGGTTTGGCATGGTACACGCATATTTTGTATTCTCAAAACTAAAATGCAAAACAAGTTGAAAGAAGCAGTAGTTGTCTTGATTGGCGAGGAAAAGCAGGATATAAATACTTCAAGAAATATAATAATTCTTATATATGAGTGTTGTTGCATTTGCAGTTCAGCCCTTCAGAGACTACTAACAGCCAATCTGTGGAGCCTTACAAAGTAATCTATAAACCCTGCCAGAATAATATCCAGAAACCAGTTGCTATTTCTCCAGATACTTCTAGAAGAATCGAGGCATTTGAAGACCTGCAGCATGAATTTCTGGGGACTGGTGAGAGTAAGTATTGATGCGTAATCAACTGTTAAAATTAACTGTACATAGAATTGGACCCCCAAATTTAGCTTTGGTATAAACCGACCTGCCTCAGAGAAGGACTAAATCCCATGTGAAGTATGCAAATGCTTTTCTTGTTGATGCTCTTGTAACTATTGTTACATGATCTGTATTCATACTGAATTAATAGAAAGTGACAAATGGGGACATGAATATTTACTTAAATCCAGAGACAATAATCACAGTAGCTGATTACCCAGAGAACAGCTTGCTTTGCTAGGTACGGAAACCATGCACCTTTTAAAATTGGACTGAACTGGAAAATGTACCTTGAATCAACAGATGCTTCAGACAATGTGCAGATTCTCCAGCTTCAGGTTCTTAACAAGGCAAAGGGGAGGCAGCTGGAAGAATTTAATAAACAACTGGAAGAGAGAGCACAGCAGATTAGGTATCTGTCTCATCAGCTTTCGATTGTCAAAGGTAAATCTCTGTTCGGGGCAGGAGGGGGTGTGGAGAGTACTTTTGCTCCACTTATATTCTAGGCCCCTTGGAAATAAAAGAGCATTGTGCCTTATAATGTGGATAACCTGAACAGGCTATGGCGTGTGTGTGTCTTTACCAGTTTCCTTCACCCTTAAATTTTCTAATCTGTATGGTAATTCCAGTGGCTGGGAGATTTGATTAGGCTGGCAATGGATTTAGTATCTCATCTTTCGCAAGCATCATCTTGTTTAAACAAGCCTGCATATCACTATATTCAGTTAGCAATATCCATTCCAAAGCAAAACAGATTTTGTGTACTTCACTTTTTCCTGCTCTGCAAAGGTGTGTGACTTGAGGCCTAGGACTTGAAAGGCCTCATTCATACACTGACTAGCACATACGGGCAGTAACGAAAATTCATTTGAGGTCTCTTGTTAGCTCCTTACTCATGTTTTGGAGTATAGAGAACATGATCTGTGAAATATAGAATGGAGTAGAATTAAAATAGGGGTTGAGCAATTCACATTAGTACTGAATGTTCCATGAATGCAGCTCACAAATGATGACTGGCTCAGCAAACGGACTTAGAGGCTTCAGTGTTGTAGCACTGTTGAAACTAAAGTGATGCAGTGTTTCAGCTCCTAAAGTGTCTTCTTGTATGTGGAAAGTGTTTCTGTATGTGGAAGGGACTGCTGTTCATATTGTACTAGAGTATTGCCTAAGGCAAAAGTGAAAATAAATCCAGAGAACTTGTTGCACAAGTAGAAATGCTACAAAATCTATTTTAGCACTATTTTAGTGAAATTATGCACAAATATTTATGGAACAGCACTAGCAGCTAGTGCTTTCTTTCTGCTTACGGCTCTTGGGTAAGCAACTCAGAATAATAATAAATATACAGTCTTGGCTGAGAGGTGGGTTCTAAAATGGAGAAATGACAAAATTCAAGAAGAGGAGTAATAGGTAAATATAAATATGGCTCATTTGTTAGATGTTTAATGCCATCTTTGTAAAAGACTCCTGCAAAAAAAAAACCTTTTAGACTTACTAATCTGGATCCTGAATTAAAACCCTGAGTTTATGTTATTTAATTAGTTTTGAAGAAAATGTGTGTCTCATCTGCCTGCATTTGTAAGCTGTCTGTTGAGGGCTTGCTGGTTTATATCTGTTCAGTGGTATTTAAATATGTAATTAAAACCTGGAAGCATGCAAGCAGAATTTGAATCTGTAGGTATCTACCTGAGTGCCTTTTCATTTTATAAACAAAAAGCTTCTTATTGGCATTGTAGTTTTTCCCCTTAATTGTGTATTGTAACTCATTTCATATCTTAAATATTTATTCTGTTTTTAAAGATGAAAAGGATGGCATGTGCCTTAGTCTCCAGGAGAGTCAAAAACTCTATCAAAGTGGCAAAGAAAGGGAAGTTCAACTTGAAGGCCAGATAAAAGCTCTTGAAGCACAAATTCAAACTCTAGTGGCCAATGAGGAGAAGGTACTGCAACTATATTTTAAACTTGTGCTAGAAAGTCTTTCACTACTCACTTCCTGAGGGTTTGCAACCTGGCTTAAGCTTGCTGGAGGACATCTGGTCTACAGTGCAGTCCTAAGCAGAGTAATGCACTTGTAAATCCATTGAGATCAGTGGGCCTAGAAGGGTGTGACTCTTCTCAGGATTGTGCTGTAAACAACTTGGCCTAACGTCTTGCAGGTTTGTTGGGAGGACAAAAGGAGTCCGATCGGTTATTGAATAGCTTTGTGGAGGAAGGGTATGATAAAAATAAAATACACTGCTGCTTGTAATGCCTTTAAAGAGTCAGAGTGGGTTGGGACTTGACAGTATTTTCAGCATGAGACCCAAAGGTGTCTCAGAGCGGCTTACAAACTCCTTTCCCTTCCCCTCCCCACAACAGACACCCTGTGAGGTAGGCAGGGCTCAGAGAGCTCTTGACAGAAACTGCTCTATTTTCAAGAACAGCTCTTATCAGAGCTACGGCTTGCCCAAGGCCATCCAGCCAGGTGCAAGTGGAGGAGTGGGGAATCAAACCCAGTTCTCCCAGATTAGAGTCCGCGCACTTAACCACTACATCAAACTGGCTCTGTGAGAATATACCACGTGTTTAGAAGAAGCCCAAAGGCAGGCTGGGCTGGGGGGTGTGTGTGTCTCTTTCTCTCTTCCCTGCTGCCACTGGTGCATTCTTCTGGAGGCACTGCTGCTCCCTCTAACCAGGGCATGTACACCCTCATCTCATCTGCCTGGAACAGCAAATGAGCCACAGGGAAGGGAGGGGGCCAGTGTTGCCTTTAAGCAGAGTTAGTGTGAGTAGTAGCCAAATCACCTGCTCACAGCTTTAATGCCAGTAGCTCACAAAGTAGAATTTTTACCCACAGGACTCCATAGCTTAGAGGGAGCATTGGAGGGGGCCTGCTGGATTGATTTGCAGCAGCCTGGTTGGTCAGAGCCTCACCTTCCCAGCTGTGCCTGGTCTTTGTGTCACTATATTTATTTACCAAATTATAGCCCACCTTTCTGCCCTCATCAGGGCCACCAAGGTGGCTAACACTGAGAAACAAACCAAATCTAAAATTACACTTACAAAAGCAAGTGTTTGATAAGTTGTCTGTGGTTGGTGCCGATCAGGAGGCAAAGAGGCCATGCACTGTGTCACATCCCTTCCTTCCTTTCTTCCCTGGCACTTAGCCCCTTCCCCAGTACCTGGGAGAGAGAATTTGGGCTTGGAGCAGGGCACAGTTGACCCTTCTAGCTGGCCCTCACCCTTCATTGTCTGGGAAACTAGCTCCTCTGCTGGGGGTAGTAATGGGATGGGACTGTTCCCCCCCCCTTTCCTCTGGCTTCATATTGGAACATTTCCATCTTACTGTTGCTGTCTTTGTCTTGTGAGTGAATGTGTTATAATTCGGCATCCTTTTTTAAAAAAAAACCTTTTGGTAGCTCATCAAACAAACCAAGGTAGCAGAGACAGCTATGGAAAGCACGCAGCAGCAGCTCATGGAACTCCGGCGCTCAGAGGCTCTTCAGCGCACAAGAGAGCAGCACGAGGCCATCGTCACCGCCCTCAAGCAGAAGTACGAAGAGCAGGTCGTTTCTTTGCAGGAGAAACTTGATGCCAGGTGCTCGGAGCTGCAGGAGCAGGTCAGGCTGGGGCTGATAATATGAAAATAGTTATGGAAGGTGTGTCCACTTGCAGAGCTTTCCTTTTGTCATCCTAATGTGCTTCTGAATACTTAGTTCCCCAGTTTTGTTTCTTTAGTGCACTCTGCAATTGATTAGAAATGCTTCACAAACTTCAAAGCAGGTGTCTGTCTGTTTCAGGACTGCAGCAACTGGGATGCTTATCTCCCACATGGGGGGGGGGGGGCTGACTTCTTCCAACCTTGGTACCATTTATGTAGATGGAACTATGTGGAGACAGTCATCCTCCTCAAGAAGGGGGACTCCTGGACATAAACACACTGTAGAGAAACATGAGAGGAAAAACAGATACAAAGGGGAGAGACTTTTCCTCTGCTTACAACTTTATTCAGTCGTGGATGTTTTCTTACATAAACTGGCAACATAGGGAGAAAGTCAGAAAAAAATTGTTACACTGGTTAGGGGGCAGGCTCAGGCTCATCTAGGTAGGAGGCAGTAAGTGTATTTGTTCAGTCAATCAATATTTACTAGGCTTATAAGGCAGCAGAATGAAACATATAGTAGCAGAGTGGTTTTGTGTCTATGTGTTTATGTGTACACACACAAACTTACACACACATATACGATCTTCCATTAAGAGGTATAAAATAGCAAATATGTGATGCTAAATCAACACTGTACCTCAGAAGATTTTGGCAGCTGTATAGAACTGGCAACTCTGTCTGAGGTTTTAGACTCAAGGTCAGCACGAAGAAAGCAAGTCTAGAAGTATACCATTCCTCTGATATTCCTGGGATTTTTTGGAAGATAGATATAATAATTATATGAGATCATTATAGAATGATTTCCCCAGTAGCGTAAGGGCATAAATGCTCGTAAAGCAGCTCTCCACACTATCTTCCTTGTAATAAAGTGGATGGAAGAACAATGAAATGGGTTATTGGGGGGGGTGTTAAATAAAAATTGTCTGGGAAAGGAAAACCGATGTGGGACGTGGATAGCAAATGTACCAATAACGGTTAAACGTTATGAAAAACATATCACACAGGAGCATTTTCCAGAGGTTTCAGTTTCCTAAAAACAACCATTTCTCTTGCGGCACAAGTTTACACATCTTTTAACAAGGCATAAATATCAGGATAGGGGTGGGTGGAAACATTAGGTAAAACTATTGATTTTTTTGTCTAAAAGGCTGTGTGCAAAACAAAGAGTCGATTTAATATAAAATGAGAGGCAGTTCCTCAAACAAGATGGGCATATGTAAATATGATCTGTACCTCAATTGTTATTGGTATTTATCTCTCTCTTTTTTATATATATATATATTTAAAAAAGCAAAATATTGCTTGTGGTCATATATCATCTTTGGCTGCGGTTTATGTTCTGCAATAAATTTCTTGTGCAGCTGATTCCCCAAGATGACCTTGCAATTGTGTGTCAGATCCTAAAACTTTGCTTAAAAACACACACCATCATTTGTATATGTAAGAAAAGGTGATTCTTTGCTACTTAGCCTATCTATGCAAAGACAGATATGTAAGATCTGTGATATCTTTTATCAGACAGAACTCTGCTGTCATCTAAGGGCGCACATGAAACAACTTGAAAGAACTCTAGAAGAAAGCAAATTAGAAAAAAATGCAATCATCAACCAGCTCTCAAGAAGCCTAGAAGAAAGCCAAAATCAGTGTGCAAACCTACTGCAAACAGGTTTGTTCTCTTTTTAAAAATTTGTTTGGTACTGTTTGCTTCAGAAAGTCTTTTGCGGTGCAGTCCTAAGCAGAGTTACACAATCAGTGGACTTAGAAGGATGCTGTGGTTAGGATTGCTTTTGGAGTACGCTTTTTAATTTATAAATCAAAATGAAGGAGCATTTTGCACCAGGTATTATAATGGCATCTCTAAGAAGCATGCAAGAAGAACTTAATTATATTTAACAACAGAGTTTACAACTCCCTGTTATAAAAGCATGTTGTTGAGTTCTCCAGTGATGCTCATAGGATGTTCACATGTAGCTATAACATCTTCCGTGGCCGGCAGTTGTTGATCAGCTTCAGGAGGGCCATTCTTTCTTCTTGCTGCAGTGCACACCTGCAAAGGACACTGTCAAGGTGGGCTGCCAATTGGACCCAACAACTGTAGGACTGCATACAAAAGGTGCATGCATGTGTGAGCCTCTTAGGACCCTCTGGAAGAAAAGTGTGCCTTGGCACAGATGTCAATGTTAAGTATTCCTGGAAACTGTTCCTCTAAGTTCTTCCATCTAACTAATATCTTATACCAGGGGTGACAGGCTGCTTTTTGATTGGAGTGGCAACCTAAAAAAGCAGATGGATCAGAAATTTGATTCCGCCTATGCAAAACGAAATGGGCTACCCAGAGAAATTCATGTGAAATTCTTTAAAAGATCTTTCAGATACCAAATTTTAAAAGCGGCAAACAACAATCCCTTTACAGATTGAAGAAACAGAAATAAAGATCCTCAAAGAAACTCCATGGATAGTAAGAGAAAAGAAAGATATACATGGAACTAACAGCGATCCCTAGAAAAAATAAAATAGTCTACAGATGGTTACTTTCAGAAGGCATACTCTTCACATTTGAAGGGAGAAGACACAAAATTAATTCTTTCCTAAAAATAAAAGATTTCTTAAAGACCTATGGAGTACAACTGGATTAGGAAGATCAAGACCCAGAACCTGGAACTGAGGAAGAAGACGACCAAGAGCAAGATAAAGGAGCAACTGGAACTTCAGCAAAGATAAAAAGACCTAAGAAACCAAGAGAAACTCCTGGCATCCCAAATTGTTACAAGACTTCGAGATAAGAATAAAGAAGATACAGCACAATCTCCAACACAAGATGCCCGGAAAGAAGCTTAAATTTATCTCCATCAATGTTAACGGATTAAATGGACCACAAAAAAGAAGAATATTTCAACAATTGAAGAAAATGCACCTAGATCTGATCTGTCTGCAAGAAATACATATAAAACAAGCCGACCAAAACTACTTAGAAGTTAGAAATCTTGGTCAGTCCTTTATATCTTCAGACAAAGAAAAGAAGAAAAGAGTACTTAATACATTCATAAAGGAACAACTGCACCCTGAGTTGGTACATAGTTCTGAAGATGGTAGAATTCTCTTAACACAAATTCAGACTCAAGGTAAGAGAACACTGATTGCAAACGTATATGGACCAAACCAACACCAACAAGAATTTTACAAAAGGTTACATACGCTCCTTTCCCAATACACCTTTGACCAGTTATGTGTTATGGGAGACTATAATGCAGTATTTGACAACTCTATAGACAGAAAAACATCTACTAAACAAAAGAAAAAAGTAGTGAGCTACCAGGCTCCTTTTTTCAACTAGCAGAGGAATACAATCTAGTGGATTCATGGCGTCTCAGAAACCCAGATAAAAAATACTTTACTTTCTACTCTTCACGACATAATGGTCAAGAATTGATATGAAGTGAATCTCAACTTCACTTGTAAGTGACTTACTGGAGGTGGAAATACTCCCAGCAACTTTTGCTGATCATAACCTGATACTTCTAACTCTTCAAGACTTACCTAAAAATAAGACCAGTTGGACTTTGAATATATCATTGTTGAAAAATAAAAACTTTGACTGAGATGAAAAAGGAATTTCGGATATTTTTTGAACAAAACCTGCAACCAGATATGCCAGTCAGGATTGTATGGGATACATTCAAAGCTTTTGCCAGAGGTTGGGCTATTAGTGCTTCCTCGCATTTTAAGAAGCTGAAAAATGAGAAGTTTTCACAAATAAAAATTCAAATTGAAGAATGTGAACAACAAATGAAAAAAGAATCTGCTACCCAAAACTTGAAAATGAAGTTGAAGCTTTTGCAACATCAAATGAACTCTCTTTTAACTCAAGAAATAGCTCAAAAGATCACATTCGCAAAGCAAAACTACTTTGAGAATGCTAATAAGCCAACATGATGGCTGCCCTACAAGCTACGGAAAGAAAAAGAGAAAAGAATTATTACTTCCTTAAAAGACTTCTCTGGAAATGAGAGAAATTTACCCCAGGACTTAAAAAATATTGTGGAGTCCTTTTATGGAAATTTATATATTAAAAAAAGCCGGCCTTAATCAGGTTCAAAGTTATTTATCAAAATATAACTGGCAGATCTTTACAGAAGACCAGAGAAAAATTTTAAATGATTCAATAACCATGGCAGAAATAACTGAAGCTTTAAAAAAACAGAAGAAAAGAAAGATGCCAGGCCCAGATGGGGTTCCAGCAGAATTTTATCAAACATTTGAAGAATAACTGATGCTTCCTTTCAAATTGGTAGTACCAAAAATACAAACTGAAGGTAAAGTTCCAGATAACTGGAATGAAGCCTTAATAACCTTGTTCCATAAACAAAATACAGACCAGAATGAAATTAAAAATTACAGACCAATTTCACTACTCAAATATATATACTAATATTTTAGCTACAAGATTGAAAAAAGTCTTAACAAAGGTTCTACACCAGGGCCAAGCAGGTTTTTTACCTAAAAGACAACTTAGAAACAATGTACGAACAATATTAAATATAACTGAATACTATGAAGTACACCCAGAAAAACAGATGGCGTTGGTCTTTTTAGACGCTGAAAAGGCCTTTGACAATCTCAATTGGAATTTCATGCTTGAGAAACTAAAGCTTTCGCAATGTGGTGCTGGATTTTTTACAATGGTAAGGGCAATCTATACTACACAACAAGCGAAGATCCTGGTTAATGGAGAATTGACAAGATACATCCATATACAAAAAGGAACCAGACAAGGCTGGCCACTTTCCCCTCTCTTATTTATTTTTGCACTTGAAACATTAAATGATATGATTAGAAATCATACTAGCATTACTGGCCTTAAAATCAGAAGAGAGGAATACAAACTACAAGTTTTTGCAGGTGACTTGGTCTTTATACTGGAAAATCCAATCAAATCTATTAGCCATCTCTTAAGTTCACTGCAGCAATATGGTCAAGTAGGTGGATTTACTACAGAATAAAACCTACAACTCCAGCAAATATCAGGCCTGGAGATTAAAAAAAAAAGATGTCTTGGAATAAATGTAACAAATAGATGTAGTTCATTGATTGAAAATAACTATGTTCATCTTCTTACAGAAATTAAAAAAGACCGTGAAAAATTGAAAAACTTACAAATATCCTTTACGGGTAGAATTGCGACAATAAAAATGAATGTACTACCATGATTGATATTTTTGTTCCAGACAATCCCAGTTCTTCAAAATCAGAAATATTTTATGGAATTAGACAAATTGATGAAAAAATTTATATGGCAAGGAAAGAAACTAAGAATAAAACTGAAAGCACTACAAGATACAAAAGAAAGGGCTGGATTTGCTCTTCCAGATTGGAATCTTTATTTTAAGGCAGCAGCAATTATATGGATAAGAGACTGGATTACTTTAGAGAATCCCAGAACACTAACACTGGGGGGGCCATGACTTGCTGTTGGGCTGGCATGCATATGTTTGGTATGAGAAAGCAGAGTCACATAAATATTTTAAACAACATATTGTGAGAAAAGCATTGTTAAGGTTATGGGAAACTACTAAAACTTTGTTTTATGCTAAAATACCTAAATGGGTGGCTCCATTGGAGGCTTTTACAAATCCAAACTTGATCTCAAAAGTACATTTATTGAAATATGATGATTTGCTTGATAGTAAAAATGAGCTAAAAGTGATTGACAATATAAAAAAACTGAACCCTGAGCTTAACTGGTGGGAACTGGTACAAATCCAATCGAGATATACTAACGATGAAGTGGTAGGATTCTGTACTAAAATGTTTGAAATTGATAAAATATTGTTTCACTCTGAAGAAAAATTGATTAAAAAGATATATTTGTTAATGTTAGAAGAGAAGACACAAGATGAGATTGTTAAAAACTCTATGGTTAAATGGGCACAAAATGTTGGTCATAACATCCATTTGGATCAATGGGCCCAGGTATGGAAAATAAATGTAAAAATCACTAAAGCTGCCTCCTACAAAGAAAATATGTATAAAATGTTTTACAGGTGGTATATGACACCAGATATACTAGCAAAATTTTATCCTAATCTATCAAATCTGTGTTGGAAATGCAAAAAAGTTGCTGGTTCCTTCTTCCACATGTGGTGGACGTGTGATAAAGTAAAAAAATATTGGGTTTGGATTCATGAAATTTTACAAAAAATGCTTAAAATTAATATACCTTTTGCCCCTGAGCTATTCCTTTTGAATATAAAATCAGAAAATTGTAAAAATGAAGATTTTTACTTTATTATACAAGTAATAACAACTGCTAGAATATTATATGCTAAATATTGAAGAAAAGAAGAAACATCCAAAAAACAAGAAGTTATAACTAAAACACTGGAAACAGCAGAAATGGATAAATTGACTTTATTTTTAAGAGGACGTGAGGAAGAGAAATTTCACAATACAGGGAACAAATTTTATGCATGGTTTAAAGACTACATCAAATGAACTGAAATATATACTCCTTCTTGCACTCTGAGATATTTTATTACTTTTAAAAAGTGGCAGACTTTTTAAACTATCCTATTTTACTAGGCTAAATATGTAATTAGAGTTCAACTACTAGTTATCATAACAAAGTAGGAGACTTCTGTAATACCTACACTTCCCTCCAACCATTTTATGTATGTTTTTTGTGTGTGTCTTTTTGTGGTTGTATGTCTGTATGAAAATAAACTTTTCAAAAAAAAGAAGAAAGAAAGAAATTTGATTCCTGTAGGTGGAGGGAAGGCTCTTCAAGAAGAATGACTGGAATGTTATGCAAGAGGGAAGCTTTTAAGTTAACTTTGCATAATTTTGGCCCCGTTCACACGGAGCAGAAGCCACGCTAAATAGACGGAAGAGAGGCGGAGTTACCTGGCGCGATCACGTGGCAACATCTGGGGAGCGTAGAGCTCCCGTGGTTGAACTGTGGCGAACCGCCGATAAAACGGAGCAAAAAACTAGTACCTCGGAGGTACTAGTTTCCGGAAACTGCGGGGCAAGGGCGGGCGTCTGATCGCGTTTCCGGTGGCATCCGGCGCCCGTCCATGTCCCCTTGCGAAGAAGGGGTTTTTTCCCCCCAAGTCTCCGTGGTTGCGCACACGCACCCAACGGAGCACGCGCATTCGTAGTGTACACAGGAAAAGGAAACCAGGTTGCCGTGCCGCGCGCTTCTTCGTTGCGCGCAGGCGTGTGTTGTGATCAACGCCTCTCCGTAACCACGGAAGCTCCACGGTTCCTCCACAGAACCTCCACAGGAGGTATGATCGCTTTACTGCATGTTAGTTTGCCCTGGGGCAAACAGCCACGCTTCCCCCCCGCAGTTTCCTGTCCGTGTGACCGGGGCCATAGTAAATAAGTGTTGGTGTGAGTTTGAAAGGTGATACTGAAATGACACATAGCCTGCCAACGCTGGACTGAAAACATATTCCAGCTGATTATACAAACACTGAAGTGCTTGTAAATGACATTAAATAGGTGACTGCATGAATTTAAATATCTTATTTGGGGGGGGGGGTTCTTCAACAAGCTAGTTTTACACATCCTGCTGTTCTGGCATGGTTTCACAGTTTCCTTTCCCTTCTGGCGAGCTAAAGAAAAGTAAACGTTTGGTGTGTCTTACTTGGAATTACTTTACTTTGACTTCCCTTCCTTGAAAATGAAAGGAAATAAAGCTACCACAGACTCAAGTGTAGAATAACCTTCCATTTAATATGCAGCCAAAACGTCTTCATTCTCTTCTGTTTAGGTAGTTCTTCTCTGCTCCCAGGCGTCTCTGTAGAAGAGATACTTTGTGTTACTACTTTGTAGTCTCTGGCCATCCTCACTGACGGAGCTTTAATTTGGAAACTTCTGGAGCTACAAAATAGGTGTGGAAATCACCTCCTCCAAGGAAAGTGGTGGGGAACTGTGCATGCTCCAAGGGGGAAAGTTTTCCCCTTCCCACTTGGTTCCTTTTCATCTGCTGCAGCAGAAATATTGGAAGTTGCCACTCTTCCCCATGGAGCGTGCATGGTTTGCCACTGTGTTCTTTGGGGAAGGGTTTTTTTGCACCTGTTTTGTAGCTCTAGAAGCTTCTAAATTCAGTCTGCGCAGGCACAAAGCCCATCAGTGTGCATGCTCAAAGGACCGCTCAAAGATCAGCAGTTAGAGGTAAGGAGCCTGGTTTTCTGATGCCCTGTAAAGATGCTGCCGTATTAGTCAAGTTTACTTGGGGGTAGAGTGGGGCTTCCTTTCTATGAGTAATGCTACCTGTATCTTCATGATGAATTCTGGTTCTTTCTTTCCAGGTTTGGTGCAGGAGACACATCAGTTACGCTTGCAGCTTCAGCAAGCCCAGTCATCACAGCTGATAAGTAATGAAATGAATAAGGCTCTGCAGGTAGGTTTATTTTCCTATTAAATATGTGAACCTTCTGACTCTTGGGGATGGAGAGGTGAAACATCATGGTTACTGGATGCATGTCCTTCTCTGAAGTTGAGGATATGAGACTGAATTCACAGGGTAGATCCCTTATTCTTTTTGGCTTAAGACCTCGGGTCAATGAAGCTAATAAATGAAATGGAAATGGATCCCTTATTCTGTTTTGTTTATATGCTGTATTAGGTTGAGAAGCTGGATACCAATGTTTTAAAATTAACTCACAAAGGTCACTTCTGATGCTTGTGGGTAACTGGCATTGTAGATCTAACCAGAAGACAATGAAGGTAGAAGGGTGTTACTCAGCTTAGGATGGCACTGTCAGCTACCTGGATACTCAGAAGCAGTCTTATGTACAGGTCCACTTTCTGCATCTTTTTTTTTTAACTCTATTTTTTATTAATTTTTATAACATTTACAACTCCACAACCAAACAAATAGCAAATAATTAATCATAAATGTACAAAACCATATAAATCTAGAACATCAATCAATTCTTGTAGGTGTATATAGCACATTTAAAAGTAATACAATGCAAACTTATTATATTTAATAGGAAAAACATTAAATCGACTCCCTTCAGTTTCTATATATTGAAGAAAGGAAAACCATTTTTCCAAAAAAATTGTATTCTTTCTAACAAAACCATCCGCAATCAACAGTTGCATAGCAATTTTATCATTAACTACTATATCCCAAATTTTATCAAACCAAAGTCTCAAAGTCTCAGTGTTGGAATTTTAACAGATTTCCAAAGTTGGGCAAGTGAGGTTTTTGCTGCCATCAATAACAGAGCCACTATTTCTGTTTTCTCATTAGTCATAAATGAATCACTCCAACAATTTAATAAAAGAGACTCCGGAGAGTTTGGAATCCTTCTACCAGTTATTTTTTCTATGATTGGCAACACCATTTTCCAGAATTCTTGCACCTTTGGGCCTTTGGGCATGCCTACCTGCAATGTATGTATGATCCAATATCATTAGAACATTTCCAACATTGAGGTGAAACAATAGAATGACTATAGTAAAGTCTTTGAGGTGTAAGATACCACCTGGAAAAAACTTTATAATTTTGGAGTTTAATATTTAAGGGTCTTGTGGTATATACAGGTAAAGACCATATTTTTAACAATTTATCTTCTGTAAACTGTGTTTGACAATCAGATTGCCAAGCAGTTTGTTGTGTTGTAGCAGAGGACCATTGTTTTTGTTTAAGCAAAAAATATAAGTTTCATAGGCTGCGGTCACACAGAGCATTAGGCACGCTAGAGGGACGGAAGATAGGTGGATTTTCTGGGCACGATCTCACCGCCACATCTGGGAAGCGTCGAGCTCCCGTGGCGAACCCAAGGCTTCCCACGGAAGATGTGCGGTAGAAAATAGTAGCTCGGAGGTACTAGTTTCCGGAGGGCGGGTGTCTGATCGCGTTTCCGGTGGTAGTTCTGGCGCCCGCCCATGTCCCCTCGCAAAAAGGTTGGGTTTTTTTTTCAAAGTCTCCACGGATGCGCACAAGCACCCAAGGGAGCATGCGCACATTTGAGGGTTTTTTAAAAAAAACAACAACCCCGTTTGCCCCGCGCCCTGCTTCTTTGCCGCGCCGCAGGACTGTGGAGTGATCGGCATCTCCCCCCTACCACGGACCTCCATCGGTAGGTCTGCTCGAGCAACTGCACGGTTTTTAGCCCCGGGGCTAACAGCCACGTTTCCCCCCTGCATTTTCCTGCCCGTGTGACCGGGACCATAGTTCCCTTTTCTCCATATCGACCCTGTTTTATCAATATTTCAAAGCCAGTTAAAGACCTATCTAATCCAGTTTTTAAGTTATTTGCTGTGGACATAAAATGGAGTTGGTGATATTTAACCCATGGTATAACCATTTGATACTTTAACTCCAACTGTTCCTTAGACCAAAGTTTTCCTTGCTGTGTAATATCGCTTAGCCTAAAAAGTCCTTTCTCTCTCCAATTTGTATATGTATCAATTTTCCTTCCAGGTGCAAACCAGCTTTGTCCCAAAAAAACTGAAACAGGAGAAATATCTGGGGCCAATATATACCAGTACTTGTCCCATATATCCAAAGTAAACTTAAGAAATGGGTTAACTGCAACATTAGTACCTCTATCTTTTGGTTTAGTCCAAATAGCTTCATGAAGAAGTGGCTGACAAAATTCCTTTTCAAGCGTAACCCATGCTTTTGAAACATCTGAAGTCGCATAATATAGTATGTTTTTAAGTTGGGCTGCTAAAAAATAAGACCATAGGTCTGGTAAAGCCAGTCCTCCTAATTTAGTTGGGCGTGATAACAAAGAATAACTAATACGTCTTAATTTTCCCCCCATTAAAAATTTGTCCATAGTTCTCTCCATCTTTGAAATTCTTTTTTTGGAATTGATATAGGCAAATTTTGAAAAAAAAAAAATAAAACTTGGGGGGAAGTATTGTTTTTAAAAGTTTAATCTTCTCTAGCAAAGATAAATTAAATGTAGTCCATTTATCAATGGAATCCTTTACTGACTTATATAATGTATCATAATTACGTTTATAAAGATCATTGAAGTTTATCGGTATTATAATTCCTAAGTGTTTCCAGTCTATAGTTACCCATTTAAAAGGGTATTGGCTTGCAATAACTTTTAATCTTTTTCTTTAATATAAATTGGGTATAACTCTGTTTTCTTTAAGTTAATGGTAAAGCCTGAGATTAAATGAAAAGAATTAAATTTATTCATTAAAAACCTTAAGGTTGTTTTAGGATCATTTAAAAAAATAACAGTATCATCTGCAAAAAGCCCCAATTTAAAATTGTCTGATTTTGTAGCTGTTATGTATGTAGCCGCCACACGGCGGCCACAAAGAAAGACAGGAGCTTGTCTCCAGAAAGACAATGGATTAAATTTAGTCCATTTATCAATGGAATTCTTTACTGACTAATAAATTACATTTATAAAGATCATTGAGGTTTATTGGTATTATAATTCCTGTTTCCATTCTTTAGTTACCCATTTAAAAGGGTATTGGCTTCCAATAACTGATTTATCTTCTTCTGTAATATAAATTGGGTGTAATTCTTTCCTTTTAACACTTCTTTTAGGTAAGGGATCTAAATTATCAAAAGCCTTTTCGGCATCTAGCGCCAAAATTGCTGATGTAATTTTATGGATTTTACAATAATTGATGAGGTTTAATGTCTTTCTAATATTGTCTGATATAGATCTACCAGGAATGAACCCTGATTGATCTGGGTGGATGTAACAGGTTATTTTATTGAGCCTAGCTACCAAAACTGAGGAAGAATTTTTAAAATCATGGTTTAAAATCACTTTCTGAGGTCTGCTCAACTTCGTCTGCAGGATGTTGATTCCTTTAGGGAGTTATATCTGGCCTCCACCGGATTGAGACTGCTGTCTTGGTACTAGTGTCCAACTTCTGGAATGGCCCCATCCAGAGTCTGCGTCTTAGTTTCTGGAAACTCTGCAAGTCCATTTTTATGCCAACAGACCTTTGAAACTGTCCCTGTTCTCTGAGCTCTTCCAACGTGGATGTGCACATCTGTGATTGGGCTGATATATTAATGAATCTTGGGACTTTAATTTTGAGTGTTTGGGTCTGTGCCTATATCATTTGGGGGTTTTATGGCTGCGATCATATGCACAATTAGACACGACATAGGCGCAAATGCTGGGGGGGATTTAAAGGGCACGATCAGACAACATCTGGGAAGTGCCCTCCAGCCATTGACAACCCGTTCTGCAGGGAAAATCTGGTGGTAAATGGGTTGCGATGGGCCACAGACTGACTTTCCTGTGTCTGATCGCTCCAACGTGCTCTCATGGCGTGGATGGTCTGATCATGCCATCCCGAATCCATGCTATTGTTTTTTCTCCCTTCTTGGTATACGCATCATCACAAACTCCATAGGGAGCCCTCAGTGCAGAGTTGTGATTAATCAATTCCTCATTTAAGCGCATCGGAAACAAATGGCACCCCTCCGACTCACCCGTGGTTGTGTCTGATTACGCAGTGGTGGGCTGCCCCCGCAGCTTCCAAGGACTGTGTGATTGCGCAATTGTGGGTCAAATTCCTCTGGAGGAAATAGCCTCACTCCCCCTGTTTTTTCTGGCATGTGTGACTGCAACCTATATTTTTGTGTGAGCTGCATCATATGTAGCAGAAGCAGGATGTTATTTTTAAGCTTAATTTCTTCTGGCCTGCTCTTGATACTATGTATTTTGTGTTATGTAATATTTCTCTGCAGGAAGAACTAAAAGAACTAAAAGAAGAACTAGTTTTGTATGAATCTGCTGCAAAACATGGTGTATATATCAGTGACCCCGGAGGAAAATTAAATGTAGACATGACTGATTCTTATGTGGATTTGGGTATTAAAAAGGTCAATAAGAAAACCAGACTTCACAGGTGAACTTTTTTAATTTATAAAAATATGTGTTCTCCAGATTTATGGGAAGAGTCGTGAATGTTGCCATATACATGTGCCATCTGTCCTAGCTGGAGCCATTTTATACATGATGTGAAGGCAAGCCCATTTTTTTGCCAGGTACACAGTTGGCGGAGGACCAGCAGCTTATCACAGTTCAGGGCAAGTTCACAGATGATAAAACCTGAAAGAGCACAATTTTAGTACATTGTTATGAGGCCAATTAGAATGATGATCACAGCTCAAAAGTTCAGCTGGAAGTAATGAGCCAGTCTTCCAGCATTTCCAGGTGAAGTGAACTCGTACTTTACTGATATTTTTGACACTGAGTAAGCTGTTGCCTTAACCCACTTTACTGTGTGTCTGTTTTAAAACTGTAGAGTAAATAACCACAGTCATAAAAACCATAGGGCTAGAGTGACCTTGTTCCTTGCACAGAATTCCTTGCCCAAGTACCAACATAACTGACATTTAGCTCATAATGTATGGTCTCAAGTATAGTGAGGGGGGGGGCACAAAAGATACATTTTCACCCTGATCCTGAATGTGTTTACACTGAAGCAAGTTCCTCTGTGTTTTGAGAGCCCTTCTTCCTGGTGAGTATATTTGATTGCTGCCTTGGTAAGTTAAAGGAGCTGTGGTGGCTCAAGTGGTTAAGACGCTGAACTGCAGGCTGTGGAAGGTCAGTAGTTCAGCAGTTCAAGACCCGGGTGCCGCATGACGGAGTGAGCTCCCGTCTCTAGTTCCAGCTCCTGCCAACCTAGCAGTTCGAAAGCAAGAAATTGCAAGTAGATAAATAGGTACCACTTCGGTGGGAAGGTAACAGCGTTCTGTGCGCCTTGGTGTTTAGTCATGCTGGCCACATGATCACGGAAACATCTTCGGACAGCGCTGGCTCTTCGACTTTGAAACGGAGATGAGCACCGCAACCCTAGAGTCGGATTCGACTGGCTTTCGAGCAAGGGAACCTTTACCTTTTTACTTTTTGGTAAATTAAATTAATTTCTTGTGCCCCAAAACATGAAAGTTCTCCACTTTATGTACAGATTATTAATGCAACTAGTTTTGTATGTCTTTCTCTTCTGATAATGTTCAATAGCGATGCACAGAATAAAGAAATGGATAAAGAACTCTGTAAAGATGAGATCATCTTGGAGCTGAAGGCAGAAATGGAGCGTTTACTGAGCAGTAACAAAGCAAAGAGGTACCGGGTTTCCCAACTACAGAATAATCTCAAAGAGTGCCAGAGGACGATAGAAGAGCTGAAGCAGCTGGTAAAAACAAATGGGCAAGAGGTGTATTTTTGTTAGTATTGTGTATTTTGGAAGAATTGATAGGATTTTAGTTTTAATAGGAGAGAACATCTCTCCACCCCCAAATTCTTGGATTGCAAATGAACCAAATTGTTGTGCTCAGTAATTATGACTGGAATTTCTATTTCTATTGGATAACAACTTTTGGAATAAGGAAGCCAACACTTTTGCCTTGATGCTTCAAAAATGTTTAATTGGAAGGAATGTCCAGTTCTGTTACAAGAACAACTTATTTGTCACTTCTGTGTGACTATATCCTCTCTTGCTTGTACAAATGTTTGAACTCTGGAAGTCACATGGCAGTTGCTGATGTCATGGTTATTCTTCTATAAGCTTTACCTACCTTGGCTTTGAATCTTTTGAATTCCACAGTTTTGACCTATCTCCTTTTTGTCATGTTTTTAAATACTGCTTTTCCTGCTGTGACAAATAATTGCAGGCATAGAGTCTTTGGATAGTGCTTACTTTTATGTGGTATACTCTTGCAAACTAAGTGGCTTTCTTTGTTCCACTGTACATAAAACCAGCGAAAGTGGTTTTGTGTAGAATGGTATAACATTGTTCAATCCTAACTGTGCTTGACCCTAAGATACTGCATTTCAAGTGCAATTTGGTCCTTGGTGATAATATGTGTGTTAGAGATAATAGCATGGCAGTAGCAGTTGAGTTCATCAAGGCAAAAGAAATTATATGTTGGAGCTATGTTTTGTTTTTAAATTCATGGCTTTACTTGGTCCAAAAGGTTATCTGTTTAGCGTCTGTAAGGCATTGTGCTGTATTACATATGGTCAGAGGTTGCTCTGACCTACAAGTGGCATGTGTTTAAGTGGGTTCAGAATAGCTAGGCAAACAGTCCAGTAATTATACTTCTGGCAGCTTTTTCACATGAAGAACTTGCTGCGCCACTGTGAGCCCCTGTTTTTTATCTGTATCTTCTTAGTCTGTAGGCCTTCTGGGCAGGGACTGTGTCACTTTGATGACTAATGCAACAAAGACCTATTTTGTAGTACTACGGTAATAGAAATATCTGGGTTCAATCTCTTTTTGGGGCATTTTTGATAGGCTAAAGGAAGAAATATAGAAAGTCCATCAGGTGTCCTACAGTCCAATATATCTGCTAGTGAAAATAATCTCAAAGAAGACCTTCTGAGGCTCCAGAAGGAAAACCAGGTTCTACAGCAAGCAGTCGAGGTAGGTATGACATGTATTTTCATTTTTCATTGTCTGACTTGGGAGATGACACAAGGATGCTGCTATATGTGGCAACCTTGAGTTAGGTTGTCTTCTTTCCTGTAACATGGAGCATAACCCCCATTGGGTAGTTTTACTATTCTATAATTGACTCCCATTAGCACTGGCGAGGATGGCATTCTGCATGTTGTAGGGGAGAGGGGGAAAACCTGGCTGGCAGCAGTGATCCCTCTAAGCTGAGTTAGTGTGAGCCAGCTCACAGTTTTTAAGCCTCCGACTCGCACGTTTTTGTCTTAGCTCAGGCAGGATGGCTCCAGAGCAAACTAATGTATGCAGCAGCCCAATCGCTCGCTCACAACTTTAATGCCAGTACCTCACAAAGTAGAATTTTTGCTCAGAAGACCCCACAGCTTAGAGGGAGCATTGGCTGACAGATGCCATATTTGGTTGCTGTGAGGATAGGGCTTAAGGTAATAATTGTGAACACACTGAGGTTTTAAAACTGGATTTCACTTTTAAAAAATCTCTGGCTTTGATTTCTGTTTGAACAGATCCGAAGTGCACATATTCAGGAACTTGAAGAAAATGAGGAAAAGCTGAAAAAAATAAATCAGGACCTTTGTAGTCAAATGAGACAGATTGTTCAGGACTTCGATCGTGATAAACAAGAAACCATTGACAGGTGAGCTACAGTGTAGTGGGAGAGCAAAATTCTTTTTACACTCTACATACTTGGTATGTTTTATTTCTTTTTTGTTGCTGTAGTTAAATAAATTTTAATTAAAATTAAATTATGAAAGGTGAAAGCATTCTTTCAGCCAGTCCCCGTCCCCCCCCCCCCAATACGGGATTCTGTATACTTTCTGCTTACCGTGACTTCAGTAATCCACCACCACTTGCGTTTTATCTATCTAGTACTGCTCATATGGCTATCACCTTAAGCAGAAATTAGAACCAAGAAAATAATTATAAATATCTTACTCAGTATTATTTCTCTTATATTTGATTATTGCACCTATGAATTTTGCCACCGAGACACCACTTGAGTTCACGTTTCCTCTTGTATCTTCATTAGCTTTGAGGAATAATCTGTGTGTCATTTTTTTTTTTAATCCTGCCCTTCCTCTAGGTGGCTTAGTTGGGACTTCCCTATTTTATCCTCACAAACATGTTGTGATATAGGCTAGTCTGAGAGTGTGACTGGCCCAAGGTCACCGAGCAGGATTTGTGGCTCATCAATAACTTTAGTCTGGGCCTTTCTATTCCAAGTGCATAGCTCTATCTGCTGTACAAGGCTTGTGGTGACCTTTGCCATCTGATCAGCCTGTAGAATGCATGAAGCATTATACCGATCTAGTGATTGAAAGGGTACCTTGCCATTGACACAGAAGTACAACTTGTTTTAAAATTGTCTCCTGGCTGTAGGTATGAGAGAACCTATCGGCAACATTATGAAGACATGAAGAAAAAGTATTGTGAAGAGTTCACGGAAGAGCATGCTGCAGAAAAAGAAAAACTCATCCGTGCTTATGATGAGAGCATTGCACAGTTAAAGTGAGACTTTTGCCCTACTAAATAAGATTATCTGATATTGTCTCTTTTCAAACCTTATTAGAAATGGGAGCTTTTTATTGCCTTTTAAAAAGCATCTACATGCATCTCTCTGGTTGTCACTGCAGAGCTGAAATTGATGAGGTGAACAAAGAGATGATGACAGTAAAGGAATGTTACATCACAGTCTGCAGAGAGAAGGATGAACAGGAAGCTGCTCTGAGGGGAATGTTTGAACGAGAACAACAACTGAAGGAAGAGAACGTAAGTACAACAACAACAACAAAAGTTCCTGCAAAAGTAATTGCCAAACAAACCTGTACTGATTTTGCTAGTTTGTTGTCTAAGTAAAATGCCTAGAAACTTCTGATTTAACACAGGCCACTTGAACAAGTGTTCATTTAGATGTATGTGGTCTTATGCCTGAGCTATAGAACCATATTTAAGATAACACGTGTTAGGAATTTTTTTTGGTATTGCCTGCACTAATAAATCTATAGAATAATGTACTAAAGTTTTAGTTACAGACTAACACACACACACACCCCAAAGTAATGGGGTTGAAATGGAAAGGCACAAATTCTTGCAGGTTGCCAGGGTGGGGAGACTTCTTGCATATTTTGGCATTTGAAGCAAAGTCAGTTTTCTTTTTAGCAGTAAAGACCAAAGCTCCCTCTACGCTGTGGAGTCCTGTGAGCAAAATTTCTACTTTGTGAGCTACTGGCATTAAAATTGTGAGCAAGCAATTTGGCTACTGCATAACTTAGTTTGCTCTGGAGCCATCCTTCCTGAGCTAAGACAAAAATGTGTGAGGCAGTGGCTTAAAAACTGTGAGCTAGCTCATACTAACCTGGTAAAGACCTTCAGACATCTAAGCTGAGATCAGTAGGTGCACCCAGATCCCTTAACAATTCACAGGAAGCCTTTCATGGAACCTAGGGTGGTGGATTGCCCCAAGTTTTGGTATGGATCAGGACAGCCTGAATACTGCCAGTCCCTTAACCACAGTAAAAGGATTGAAAATAGGCTGCAGAATCATATTCTCCCATCTCATGCAAATCCCTTCTCCTCTTCTTAACCATAGCTGGCTATTTTAGTCAAGGTTTTCAAACCAGTTTTAAATTGTGCTGAGCAATAACCCCTGGTCCAAATCAACCATAGTGTTGATGCTAGTATAAGCCTTAGCCTTGCTTAGGTGTGGAGCATTTGTGGTGCATGTCAGGCAACTGCATGGTGGAGACCGCATGGTCCAAGACTGATTAAGGGGTCAACAACTCTGTAGGCGTTTTGTATTTCTAAAATCTGGATCTTCCGCAGTAACTGATGGCTTTCAGTTCATCCTGTTTTGAAGTTTGTTTCAACAGAGAATATTATATAGCAAATTTCTTCAGGTATTATTGTCTTCTTTTTTATTGTACCTCCTTTAGGGAGAGGGGTTAAATTTCTTATCTCATGCCTTTCTTCGCTGTCCTTGAAAAAGGACACGTATATTGAGGTTTTGTTTTGCCCAATGTATGTAAACCTAACCCAACCCCTGACAGCCATAGCTCTTACAGGGAATGGATGGTTATTTTGTCTGAGCGGTTTTGTTGCAAAATGCATATGGCTAACATAGCTAGAGTCCAGCAGCACCTTGGAGACCAAAAGGAGTTTCTGGGTATAAACCTTTGAGGAGTTTTGACTTCTAAAAGCTGATACCCTGAAACTCCTGTTGGTCTCTCAGCTGGTGCTGGACTCCAGTCTCACTGTTCTACAGCAGGCCAACATGGCTGCCCTCTGAAACTGTCTTCAAGGCTAACGTAGTTACTTCAGAGTAATATGCAGATCAGTTCCATCTCTGCACTCCAAGTTGATCACAGTCTAAATCTTTGGTGGGAGTGGGGGTGTAGTAGAAGAAAAGCAAGGTTGATGAACAAAGGGAGGGGAGGCGAGGTGGGTTGAATGTGAGCTACTGCAGTTAAGCCGATGGGAACTGAAGAAGGGGAGAGTTGGCACTGTGGAGGTTGCCAAGAGGCAGCTCCAGACGGAAGACCACGAGGGAAAATGTGGGGTGGTGCTCAAACTAGTGGAGACGTCTGGGCAAGTTTTAAAAAATTAATCTTGAGACTTCATTTTCACTCTGCCTTTCTTGCAGTGACTCAAGGCAGATTACTAAAATTTAAAAATAGTAATACAATACAATAAATATTATAACGATGCAATAAACATGATAAAATCTAATGATAAATGAAATATTACTAGCTAGAAATGTTTCCACGAACATGAAATACTACATAGTATGCCCTTACAGGTTGCTGCAACTAAACTGTTTGGGGTTAACGTAACCACATTTGACACAAGCCAGTGTTTCACAAAGTTACCTTATTTTTATTTGCTAACAGTCACAGTCTCTCTTTTAGATGATGGTAACAGAATGCAGAGGTGCTATTTTTAATCAGGTCCATTGGAAGTCCGTAATTTGTACTTGCTCTGTGCTGAAGAACTGAGCACCAGACCAGAACATTAATCCTGAGGTTGTCCAAATTCGTTACTCAGCTGTCTTGTTAAAATTTTGTCTAGTTCAAGAAACAGCTACTGGAGGAAAAAGAAAAATCCTTGAATGGCTTGAGGGCTGAGCTAGAAGAAACACACAAGAATTCTGTCCTGACAGCCAAGGCCCAGTGGCAGGAAGAAAAAGAAGCTGACATGAAACAGTGTGTTGAGAATGAAGTGGAGAGAGCCAAAGCATGCTGGGAGAGAGAACACAAAGAGGTGTGCTGAGAGTTGTTATAACTAGTGCAGCTCTGTGGAGGATTGAAAGGCTTTCTGAGGTGTTTGGATCGTGCAGAAAGTTGCCCCTTTTCAAATATTTCTGCCTTCTTAACCATATCCATAAAATTGATGCTTTCCTTTTGCATTTGATGGCTGTATCATCATCTCCTAGGATTTGAATTTTTCAATGTTTTGTAGCCTTATGATTTTAAGAAAATCATATTTGTCGTCATAAGAACACAAGAGAAGCCATGTTGGATCAGGCCAATGGCCCATCTAGTCCAACGCTCTGTGTCACACAGTGACCAAAACTCAGGTGCCATCAGGAGGTCCACCAGGAGGGCCAGAACTCCTGAAGCCCTCCCAGTGTTACCTCCCCAAGCACCAAGAATGTAGGGCATCACTGCCCCAGACATAGTGTTCCATCTAAACGTTGTGGCTAATAGGCACTCATGGACCTCTGCTCCATATGTTTATCCAGTCCCCTCTTGAGGCTGCCTATGCAGGTAGTCGCTACCACTTCCCATGGCAGTGAATTCAACATGTTAATCACTCTTTGGGGTGAAGAAGTACTTCCTTTTATCTGTTCTAAGCCCACTGCTCATTAATTTCATTGAGTGCCTGCCATGAGTTCTTGTATTGGCAAGAAAGGGAGTAAAGTGCTTTCTTTCTCTACATTCTTCATCCCATGCATAATTTCGGTAATTTGCTTCTGTTAAAGACGTCATTTTTTTACTTTAGCAAGTTTAACTGTCTTGAAGGAAATCTAACATTTTCCTTCTGAACCTTGGTTTCATTTAATTGCTTTAGAAGGCAAATGTAGCTTTGCTTCTGACTGCTTGACTTGGGTATATGAGTTGAATCTCATAGATCTGTTGTGCTTTTCTTCTGGTGTAAGGAATTGCTCTGGAGTCTGTGGAGGAAGGGTGGGATAAGGATATATTTTATTCCCCTGACTCAAAAGATTTTTGCATTGTTAGAAGAGTCCCATGGGAAGAGAAAAGCACTTCTGCTAGTGCAACAGATCCACATGATCTGGTGCTGCTTGTGCATATTTCTCACCCTTCCCCTTTAAAATGAAATCTTCTATTACCTATAGACCATAGACCAAGCTATTCGGGAAGTTGAAAAAGAGTGGCAGCATAGACTGGATCAAGCTCTGGAAGAAGGCAAGAAAACAGTTGTGGAACGTAAAGATTGCTGCTGCCAAACACAGCTAGTGACCATTACAGATGAAATGCTGAGCCAGCTGTTGGCGAAGGAAGTTGAGAAGCAAACACCGACCTTGCAGGAGGCACTGAAAGAAAAGGAAAAGTCCTTGAGAGAGCATGAAGCAAATTTGGAAATGAGACATCGTGAGAACATTGCCCACCAGGTAATAAGCAAATGTGTTGACTTGTGTTTGACAGTGTCAAAATATGGCTAAAGTGAGTTCACTTAGGGATAATACATAATTTCTTGATTTGAGTATTATTAACAACACTGGGATTGCAATCCTAAGAACATTTTCAGGGGAGTAAACTCCAACCAATAGACCTGAGTAGGATTCTGAGTAGACCTGTTTAGGATTGCTCTAGGTTTAAATCAGTGGAAGCTAGGCTACATATGAGTAACAATTTTGAACAAGAAGGGTTTTCTCTTTTTTGTTATACTCAGTTCTACAAGAGGTATCTGAATTCCTGCACTTCCATACCTCATTCAGAGTTGACATTTTTGTGCTGTCATGCAACAGGGCAGTTACCTAACTTAAAATGTCTGATGAGGCAATCCTGTAGGCAAATAAGGCTGCCTAAAATCCCATTGACATCAGTGGAATTTAAGTTACTTTGCAGGACTTGCTGCCTAAAATACTGAAATCACAAATTTTACCTCAAGTGTTGCACTGAATGAGCTGGATCTGAAGCCATGCTTCCAATCTTATCAGAAGTATCTGCTTCCTGGGGGTGTGGCACTGTGGCTAAACACAGCGGACGCCTGAATCCTTCGCTCTCCTCCAGTCCTGCCCTTCTCCCCCAAAAAACAGTGCGTAGAAACCAAAAATTGATAAGAGGCGATGGGGAAAAGAGCAAAACGGCAGGCAAGCAAACTAAAATAACGAATGATCTCTTCCCCTCGGGCCAGCCAATGGCAACAAACCAGGACGGTGAAAACAAAATGGCGGCCACAAGAAATGCATCAGAACTGGATCACTGGATTCTTAAGAGGAGTTTGGGGGCTCCTGAACTTCAATGAGTTCCCTGAAGAGGGGCTCATGGCAAGGGGCTTGACTCGGATTCCCTGCGAGTGGTGGCAAGAGGGTGGAAGTCCGAGACTGCCCCCCACAAGATCCAAGTGAGAGCGTCCATAGTAGCTATAGATGTGAAGTCATGACTCCTGGGATGAGGGGGAAGCAAAACGTCTCTACAAACAATATAAAGAAGATAAATCACTGTGAGTAACCCTAACTGCAACAATATTAGGAATTTCCTACAGATCAAGCCCTTTAAACTGTTTGAAAGGGGGGGAAGGGAGGGGTGAAGAATCTTCCTCCCCCCTACTGTTTTAAAGTGGCTAAGAAGAGAAGAGAGAGAAACTTTCTTGATAAATTTACTGGTCTAAAGAAGGATAAGGCTGATGTCTGAGAAGAAAACTGTGAAATAGACTTATAAATGTGATTTTATTTTATTTTGGATTACAAAACCATATTGTGGACTTTATAACTCTGGGACTCTATTTCCCCTGGAATTATAACTGTGCCACATGGATTTTTAGAAAAACACCTGATTTGGATTATAAACATTTACATCTGATTATTTGGACCATAAACTAAATCAAGGAGAAAGAAGAAAGAATTAATTATTAAACATTTACTTTTTAACTTTCACTATGTCATTTCTTTATAACTCATTGTGTATACCCTCGTGGCTTGTTGAAAATTGTAAAGTACATTATGTTCTGAAGTTTTTGTAAACAATTGATAAGTCTGTATTATAACTAAATGATAAGATTGTCTGCTTTGTCTGGGAACCCTCTTGTTTTTCATGTAACTGGGTAATCATAGAAAGCTGTGACTGTAGAAGTTTTATTGACAAGGAGTTGGAGAGATTTTTTGCTTTCAATGCAATATTTTAAAATGGCTGGTCTAGAAGAAGGAAAAAAGGTTTTCACACTAATGGTTACAGACTTCCAACTTTCCTTACAAGAAACAATCATTCTAATAGTAGAAACAGCTGTGAAAGCCCTGGACTCTACGCAACCTAAGCTGTATTTATTTCTACAGCAGAAGACCAACCAGATGGAAGAACGAACTAACACGGAATCCATCTTTGTGAGACATATGGGTGTAGAAAATACAGATGACGTCTGCAAGCAAAATGACCTGGCCTACAGAATGAAGTTAACACATGCAAAAAGAAATAAAATGTTTGGATAACTGAATGTGAGATTCTATGAAAGAATGACAAGAGAGGAAACCTTTACAATAGCAAATGGAAACTTCCTTCAGACAGAGAAAATCAAAGAATATATGGAACCTCAAACTATCCAAAGAATTGAATACAGATGGCTACTTTCAGAAGCTATTTTTCTTACATACAAGGGGAAAAGACACTGAATTAAGACTTTAAAACTTAAAAGGAGAAACCAGAGAATGAAGAAAAGGATGAAATCCTATAAAAAGAGGTTAAAAACTTTCTGGATTTGTGAGACCAAACACACTAGGACAAAACCTTTTGGATAAGTGAGATTATGCAGTCTTTCAAGATTTTATAAATGACTGAAAAGACTACAGAGATGCTTATGACTTTATAATCAAATTAGTCTGACATAATCAATTTGAAGGGAACAGGAACTTTATTTTAAACCAATTGCAAAAGAATATATATAAAAACAAGTTGGAATATAGAAAATAGATACTTGGATGTTGTATGAGATACTTAACTAGATATCATAGTGATGAAATGAAAACCACCCCGATTTATGTATGTTTGTTTGTCTTAATAAAAAATAAAATGTTAAAAAATTAATCTCATTTAAAAGCACACTTAAATTAAACTATCAAACAATATGGAATATTGATTGTCAAGATAGAATAAAAGAAACAGACTGGCCAGAAACCTGGAGATCTCCAAGTATGACTTCAAATATTTTTGCTATAAGATTTAACTTTTTAAGGTTATAAATAGATGATACATAATTTCTTATTTTTTAGCTACAGCAAGAACTGCAATCGCAAAGAAATGGAGAGACACTTAGAGCCCAAATGTGGCAGAATAAGCTCTGGGAACACTTTATATTAAGCAAAATTATGTGTCAACCCACAGAGTATAATTTACATAATCATCAAAGCTCTTTTTGAGCCTTTTGGTACCCTGTAGTGGAATATTAACAGAAAAAAGAAATAATCCCTGAAAATTCACATTATTGAAACCTAGTTTATTTTTGAAAGTATAATGAGTACAGAGTTTAAGGTTCCATTATTTTGAAAAAAATTCTCATTAAATACTCATTAGGAGAAAGTATGCTCAATGTTAGTTAATAACAAAGCATTAGTAACACAAGTTTTTGTCTACAAGCAGCTTGTTTTGTAATGTTTAACAGTTATTGTATTAAAATCTCATATTTGGTCATTGTTATATGTTTGGTTATACTTGATATTCTTGTATAATTGTTATATTGCATTTTGTAAATTAAAAAATACCTGCTTCCTTACCATCATGTAACCCCCATCTGTAGGTGGAATTGGCTCTGACCAAGGCTCGTGCCAGGTGGCTGCAAGAACTGACTGAGCTAGAGGAGTATAAAACTCATCTGAAAGCAGCTCAGGAAAAATGGGAGAAGGACTACGAAGTCAACACAGCCAAACAGGTAGCAGAGACCAAGCTGATTCTAATAGGATAAGACTTTTTTAAAAAAAGTTTTGTTCTTGGCATTGTTATTGTTGTTGCTCTTAATTTATTTGATTTATTAATCACCATGTCCTGGAACGTGTTTGTTTCTTGCTTTGAAAGCCCTACTGCTGCCCACCTACCCCTCCAATTAACGGAACAATTTGATTTTCTTTTTTAAGAAGCCATATTTGGTCTGTACCAAGTAGAGTAGAATATAACTGCTCAACAGGAATAAACAGTTACGTGCCTGTGCTGGTCTTCTAAAATACTTTCATACTGTAATGGTACCTGGTTAATCCAGGTTACTGGTATATTGTACAGGCTCAAAAAGCTTCTCTCAGCTTTCCTTTTCTCCCTGTTTGTTCTACTTCTATGTGGGCAATTCCCCCCCCCCCTTTCAGTTCTGGAGCTATCTAGGTTGAGCTATTTTGTCTGCTCTGATGTTCAAAAGTAACTACCATTTTGCTTCTAACTATGATTTAGCACAAACTGCAGTTAATGGACACTTTGTTAGGTCTTTATTGGCAATTACTGAAAGGTGGCGGAGAGCAAGGGTGGTGCAGAAGGGGAGGGGAGAGGGTGGGAGCACACAAAGCTTTGGGTCTTCTGATAACATAAACATCCTTAGGAGATGAGGCAGCATTATGTCTGTACCAGGGCGCTGAGTGCTAATTTCCCATACCTGGAGCAAAATTCCAGAGAAATATCTAGAGTGGTGTTGATAGGCTTGTTATGTGTCGCACTATTTAGGTATCTCTGGCTGTTTCAGCAGCTGAAGAGAAATGGAAGAAGGAGCTTGAGAGCAGTGACCAAACTAGAGTGAGGACTAAAGATCTGGAAGAGAAGATCCTTTCCCTTAAACGAGAGCTGGAGCTCAAGAAAGAAGAAATCCCTGCCATTGTTAAAGCAGAAGTGGCAAAAGCGCGGACTCTGTGGAACAAGGAAAAGCAAGAGGAGATCCTTGCAATCCAGGAACAAAACGAAAAAGATTATCATGCCTTTTTACACGACCACAGGAATAAAATCAACGAGTTGCTGGCCAAGGCCAAGGAGGACTTTGCAAAGCAGAAGGAAGAGCTGCTGGAGCAAAAAGAGGCAGACCTGAAGGTGTGCTTGGAGAGGAAGCAGCAAGAATGGGCCGTTCAGGAAGCCAAGAGGTTCCAAAATGAAGTTTGCCAGTATGAAGACAGGGCTCTGATCCAGGTGGAACTCCTCTTAGACGAAATGCACAAGGATTTTGTTAGATGTGCAGGGGATATGCCAGCTTGGCAGGCCGAGTGGCAAACTGCTCCCCACATTCAAAGCAACCTCCGGTTCAAAGACAGGCTGATGCTGTGTCTGCAGAAGGTGTATACGAATGCTGTCTCTTCTGTCCTAGAAAAAGCCAAACAAAAGGGGAACAAGGTAACATATCTGAGGCTTTAGACAAGAGCACATGGATGCAAGCAAGGTTGTTCTTCGAACCATCTGCTTGGTGGCTTTTGTATTCCAATTCATGAACAAAAATTGAGCTGAAAGTTCTGTTAAATCATTAGAATTTTTTCCCCAGAGTTAGAAAGAAGGATGGAGGGCTCATAGATATGGGAAAACATCTAGGGTCATTGAAAAGGAGGATCTTTTAATGCTTCCGGCCCAGACTCCTCTGTATCATTTCACTCTGTATACCACCTGTTAGTGGGGCCCAGGTCAGACAGGCAGAGTCAGGGATGGATGGCAGACTTCGTTGTCTGCAGTAATAGGAATGAAGGGCAGTCATTCATTGACTTGGGAGAAAGATCATTATTTGAGCATAGAAAAAGGGGCTATATTTGGGAAATACCCACTCTGGGGTGGAAACTTAAACTGAATTCCAGCTGTTGAGAATCAAGTCTGCTTCTGCCTATACAGCAGCAGCGCTTCATGTGTGCGGCACTGTTCCGAATTCAGTTTCTTGATTTATGCTGTTGTGTTACGGAAACCGTACTAAAGGCTTCTCTCTCAGTCTTTCATATTCTGCTTCATGTTCCTTGGGTTTTATCTGGTCAATGCAAATAATTAGAAGGGGAAGCTTTTACCTGTGTGTGGCGCAAAGAGCAGAACTGGCAAAAGCTCGAGCTTTTCAAAATGCGGGCATGGATCACTGTTCTTGAAATGCTTGGGGGTTTTTTGTAGGGGAGATGGATATAGGCAGAAACTGTCTCCAAACAACTGATATTGGTTGATGCTACCCTTTGACATCAGCCCAAGCACAGCCGCCCATCAGGAAACTGGTGGTACAAGAACATCTGTGAGCAGTGAATGGGGGGTTAGTCTCAGGGGCTAAATAGTCACAGTTCTAGATATCATTGCCTACTTTTTCTGTACGGACTGCGTTTTCCGGATCTTTTCTCTTGCTACTTTCAGGAAGTTAGTCATTGGGCTTCATGCCAAGATTTTTCTTTTGGGGCTTAATAGCTGACATGAAGGGTGCTGAGGCTGAAATGTGTGGTTTCTGGCATGGAAGCTCTTAGCTGTGACCTTGAGTGTATTTCTTAATTTTTGTTGAAGAACTGTATGACTCATAACCAACAAAAAGGTACATAGATTGTATATAACATCATCTAGTATTTAAGCTACATTATATCAATTCAGTTTATATCTCCTTACATTATATTTATATCTCTTTATTACATAAACTGTGTTCATTTTTTCAAAATGATCATTAATTATGCATTGATTATTAGCTTCCTAAGCTCCAGCATCTTCTGTCTTTTTGTTTTAATCTGATAATGCAGTTGATTAACCGATAAAGTATACATTGGAGTCTAGAAAACCAATTAGGTCTATAGGAGCCCACAGTGTAGGCTAGGGGAGAGCCTCCTCCCCCACCCAATGACCTACAATATGGTGACCTTGAGTGTCTGAGGATGAACTGAAATTACTTATTGTTGAAGGGAGAATACTTGGCTCATGTTCCAAATATGCTCTTTCTTTGTTGCTGCTACTTTATACAATCTGAGGATGAATCCTGTTAGAAATAGGTTTGGGGACTTGGCGTGGGGCCCCCTGACTGCGAGTAAGCTGGGTTTCCCCTTGTTTTCCAAAACACGTACTTTCTTCTAAAGGGCTTTCAGAAAGCTGTAGCTCAGTGGCAGTGCATAAGCAGGTTCAGTCTATGGCAATTCCAGTTAGATGATCTCTAATTGCAGGTACTAGGAAAGACCATTTTCTGCACAATATCCTGGAGATCCATTGCCAGTCAGAGTAGACAATATAGAACTGGATGGGTCTTGTATACATTGATACTTATGTTTCTGAATCTTTGGTTCAGATTTCTGGAGCAAATTGTTAGCCTTGAGATTAGATTTTCTCATGTTTTGGTTGAGAGCTGTATAACTCTTTAAACTTAAGAAATATCTTCACTTTTCTAGATGAAGGACAGAATCTAACTAAATCTTCCAGTGTCCATAAATGACGTGTGCTTGAATGTAAACTGTTAATTGTCTAATGGCATCAGATGTGTTTGGTGGGTGTTATGTATTACTCATTTGTTTGAAATATTTCTGTCCTGCCTTTCCCCCCAGCTTTTGGTTCCCCAAGGCAGCAAATAATCCAAAACACTAGAATAAGCTTTTGAAATACGTTTTTATAAACACAAGATCCAAAAAACCCCAAGAATAATACTCCTGAACAATTAATGTGTGGTGCTTCACTAGTGTGGCATTAGTAAAGGCTCAAGTCATATGACTGAGCTTCACTGATATATATAGAGCCACTGAAATCCACATATTGTCTCCCATGTTCTGAGCCTCTCTCATGGTTCTTAAAAAAGCTTCACAGATTATTTATTTATTCATTCATTCAATTTACACTCTTCCCTTCCTACTGAAGCAGGCTCAGGGCGGCTTACATAAAATACATATATAAATACAGTTAAGATGATGATGATTACCTGTGAAGACAATCCCAACTAAACCTGTGCTGCTCTTTTGCTTGCTTCTCCCAGAGGCAGTTTTGTTCTTTTCTGGGTGTCATGTAGACATTAGCTCCTTCTGTTCTCAAAGGTGAGAGAGATACAATGAGCAGGTAGGATTTGGCAGAGCAAACAAAAGCAGAAAAGAAGCTTAAAAAGAAGTGGTGTGGAACAAATGTTTGCTGGGGTGAGGCACAGTCCATCATGGAGAGGGATTCAGGGCTGGGTCATGCTTGACCATGTTTTTATCCTTTTTCTGATTATGTTGGCAATAGTTGTGGCCAGCTTGTAGTCCTTGGCCCCTCACCCTTTTCCAGTAGGACCCAGTGTTGCATTTATTTGTGTCCTGCTTTTGTTCCCAGCGGGGACTCAAAGCAGCTTAGAACACTGTTCTCCCCTCCTCCATTTTCTCACAACAACTGTGTGAGGTAGGTCAGGTTGACCATACACAACAGGCCCAAGACCACTTAGTGAGCTTCTGTGGTAAAAGTGGGGATTCGAACTCAGGTCTCCCTACATTGTAGTCTGGCACTCTACCCACTGCCACCTCCTAAAATGAGATTTGTCATCATGAAGCTAGTTCAGGTACATTGTAGTGATAAGGTGCAGCCTCTTTGCTTGGGCTAGTAATGACATCTAGAGAATGAGTTTTCCTTTCTTTGCATGAATATAAACTATAGAAAGTCTCCATAACAATCTTAGAAGGCTGCGTTCTCCTGCAGTCGGAAACACTTGCTGGTTTAATCTAAGGAGTTTCTCTTTTCTGTTCAGCTTTTGTTAGATGTCCTTAAAAATTCTTTTTAAGTGACTTGCCTTCACCATTACTACCACCTTAAGCATCAAGTAAAGCATTTAGCATGAATTTGCCGTTTCAAAAATGCCCTTTTCTTCTCAATAAGCTTCAAGCTTGAAGTTGGCAAGGAATGATAAAACTGGTGTTAAAAATAGTAACTAGGGGTATTTTTGAGGAAAGCCTTTGACAGAGCATGGTCCTAAACAGGGTTACACCTGTCTAAACCCCTTGACTTGAATGCACTAAGAAGGGTGTAAGTGTGCTTAGGATTGCACTGGTAAAGTACTTGTTTGGGTAGCATAGAGTAGTAATGGTTCATGCATCCAGCTGGCATTAGAGTCCTAGATACGTAACCTGATTGTAAGTCATGAAACTTACTCTGTGGCCCTGACTCGTTACTTTCTCTCACCCTTTGATATCCCGAGGTGGTTGAGACAGCAAGAGCATTCCAAGGCACTTTGTACACTGGAAATTGATACAGAAGTTAAATCTTAGTAGCATGTATCCAACAACATTTGACCTCACGGAGCAGTGCTTCCCAATTCCCCCTCATGCTGCTGCTGACTGAAACACCCCCCACCCCCCGCTAAGCTTTGTTGCTGGGCAGAGGTCTGCAGACCTTCCAGAACAGCATAAGGAACAACATGGGAGGTTGTAGAGGAGATGAGAATTGGCAGAAATCACCACCGCCCTCTTCCGCAAGTGGAAATGGTATTCCGTTGGGAGAACTGTGTGGTGGGATACAGATCAGTTACCTTCTGTTTCCTAAATTTTTTTACTATTTGTCACTTTTTAATAGTTGGTCATCTGCCAGACTGACTTGTTCTAAGTTGTGAGCAGGCTGTCTTCTGTGTTGAAATAAACTCATGATGCAAATTACAGACACTTGAAGATTCGGACTGTGATTTCAAAGGTCCAGAGCAGAGTGTCTTGCAGAGTGGCGAAGGAGAGAGAGAGAGCAAAGCTTGGCCGGCCACGTGTGATGTTGGAGAGCAAGCAGAGCTACAAAGAAGGTTAAGGAAGCCGCCATCTCTTCAGGAGGCTGAAATGGACAATGGTAAGTCTTTTGTGTCGCTTCTGATCTAGTTGGTTTTGTATATGGTGAAAAATATAACTTCCAGGGGTGTGTGTGTTTTGTACTGGGCATTTTGGAGATTCATTCGTGACTCACGTTGCTCCTGCTGAGTAGGAACAAGAACACCGATCAGTTTATTTGAGAATAGATCACAGATTTCAGAAGCAGAGTGAGTTGGCTGGACCAAGCTCTCCCTCGGCCAGCTCTTGAGACTTGTGCTGCTGGCCAGCTGCTCTTGTGCTTCCCTCCATCCTGTACTCTAGGTGGCACTAGATGACCACTAATGATGTCTGTAGCTTTATCTCTGCTTTCCCCCCTAGTTTACTGATATTCTCATTATCACCTGCACCCGCATTTCAGTACAGTACACTTACTGGCATAAATGATAAACATGACAAAAGGAAGAAAAACAAGTACAACTTTAGCATTACACAGAAAGAACTTACCCACCAGAGGATATTTATTTAATTATTGGTTTGTCCATTCAATTTATAATCTACCCTCTCCTGTACAATAGGGCTCAGAGTGGGTAACAGCATTCATAAAACATTATATACAGTTAAAATATTAAAAATGTTGTTGTTCAGTCGCACAGTTGAGTCCGACTCTTTGCGACCCCATGGACCAGATCATGCCAGGCCCTCCTGTCTTCCGCCGTCCTCTGAAGCTTGCTCAATTTCATGTTCGTTGCATCGATGACACTGTCTAACCATCTCATCCTTTGCCGTCCCCTTCTTCTTTGACCTTCAGTCTTTCCCAGCAGATGTAGATATATATATAAAACCATATGCTCCTGAATCCTCATAGCAATAAGTAATATAAGAGCTCTGATCCAACAGAAGATATAAAACAAGCGTCTCATTGGGATATCCATGGCATTTGCACAGGAGGGGATTAATTAAAGAATCCTACAGTTTGACATACAAATCACAGAAAAACAAAACAGGCTTTCTGACCCTAAAGGGTCAATGTCTTTCAGGATATGGAGCATTTCTAAATCTTCCAAAATGAACTGTCGGGAGAGCATTGTCTTGCGAGCATAAAGGTTTGTTGTAACTGAGGAGATGTTGTGTGAAAAATATGATGTTAGAACCCCATGATCAGGTGTGATACTAAACACCAGTGGGGAGCACATCCTGTTTGCTAAAGAGCAGGGAATTTGTTTTTCAGTATCCAAAGTCTTTGAATAATCTAAAGGCTTGGGGTTCTTCTATCTATATATATAAAAGAAAGTCCCCTCACTGTTAAATCAGCGCCCAGGCCAAACCGCTGGACCTAGAGACACCAAATTCGGGGAGAGCACTCCTACCATGATGTAGATGCTCACTAAGAAGGGACTTTTAGAAATTCGACCCCTAAGGGGGTCAAAAGGGGTAAAATGTGCTCCCCCCATTGATTTGTATGCGACTGCCTCCTTGCACCCTCCCCCACCCTCTGATTGGTCAGCTGCAGAGCTCAGTGTTCTGGGTAAAAAAAACCAGTTACAGGGGATTACAGAGAGCTAATGACAGTTGAGGAAATCAGGAGTGGCCAACTGCCTGTGAGGTGAAGCAAAGCTGCTGGCCCAGCCTCCCCATGGCTTCAAACATGCTCCCCCCTCCTACACCTGACAGGCAGTTGTCTGTCAGGTGCAGCAGCAGTTGCAGGGTGCTTAAAGCCATGAGGGAGCTACCATTCTAAATGATTTTTAAATAATTTGGAAAGTAGCCTTATAGGCACCTGGAACCTTCTCGACTTTCAAATGATTAATTAGAAATTTAATTTCATTAGGACTAATTGGGTGCCATTCAGGTAAATCGAGAGGGATTGTCTCTTGTTGATCAGGGAAGTAATTGAAGAATCATAGAATATATATTTGAAAAATAATCTCTCCAAGCCTAAGCGGGACACATTTATAACCCACTTCCAAGAAACTTGGGGGTAGAGAGAGATGCATAGCCCCCTCCCCAGTTTTAGCTGGCAATAGCCCGACTCAGTCGAGAGATCAAGGCCATCCAGGGAGTGGGGATTTGATTCTGAGGTCTCTCTGGTGCAGCACTCTAACCATTACAGCCCACTGGTTTCTGCAAGCATGTTGAAGCTGAGCTTATCAGCTCCCTGGGTTTTTTGTGGTCTTCATGTCAGTGGCCATCTGATTCCCTTGCTGCAAGAACTGAGTTGGGACCGTAACCAGGAGGCAGGCATGCTGACTGGAGAAGGTGCCCGCAGAACTTCTTTCCTTGAGGCAAAGTAGGGCTGCAACAAGCACTTCCTGTATGGGAAGGATAGAATGAATGCAGCTGTGCTTGGCCCAGGGCTTAAGGAGAAGCCATCTGGTGTGGCACCTAGCAAACCTCTGTGGTGTGCAGGTAGGTTTGGAGCTGTTACCTGGGCACCTGTGACGTGCCTAACAGCAAATGTGTAACTGCAAATGTTAAAATGAAGCTCTGATGATGGTTTCTTTGTGAAGAGAGTAAGACTGATTTATTCTTGACATTATGTGCTCTTCTGCACGATAGAAGAGGTGGGTGGATTCTTTTTGAAGATTTCCTAAGGTCTATACCTTTAATTTATTCTGGTGACTTAATTCAGGTGCTGCAGCAAACCAGAGCTCATTTCTTGTCGACACAGTAGGATTTTAAGCAAACTCCAGTTGGCTGAAGAGCCTGCTTATAACAGAAGCACAAACAAAGGGTTGTTTAAACCAGGGTGGTCTCTCAACCTCTCCCTTCCCACTGACATGGGGTGGGGAAGGGTACATGAAGCCCGGGAATGAATTGGGCTTGAATTAATTGGAAGCAAACTCCCAATTCGCTCATGCGAGTTTTCAGAAAAAAGATACTCCACAAGTTCAGTTGTAACTTACCAGTTTTGTATTTTGTTTTGCCTCGTAACTGCTGTTTTCCTCAGCCCCGTAACTTCTGTTTTTGATGGGTCGATTGCAGATTCAAAGTCCCTCTTGCCTCAAGAAGACTTTTGCTGCAAACGCTGCCTTCAGCAGCTTGAAAGAAAGGAAAGGGAATGTCAGGATTTGAGAAGGAAGCTTGACAAAGCATGCAGGCATCTCCAGCTGACAGTGAAGGAGCACAGAGCAAAAGCAGAGCAATGGCAAGGTTTGGAGGCTTTTCGTTTTCTCAAGGGAAAAATACTGTTGGGATTCTTTATCTTGGTGGCTATGTTAAACCTGTTGACTTAACTCTGAGAAGTGGTTCACACACATGTGTTGTGTGTTTGATGACTAATAGCTGAATGTGTGAACAGATTCCACAGGAAAGCATTATGCTTGAGGTAGTGTGGGCTGGCCGCTTATTAATATTCTAGGTGTGGTGTAAGGTCTCTGGGCCCCTTCATATATTCCTGAAGTTGCAGAAAGCAAAAGAGGAACATTCATATATGTGAAGCAGAGCTGCAGATTTTGACATCTACAGGAGTTAGCAAAACAAACAAATCCCAGACCTACGGTATAATAATTCTGCTTGAATTGTGATAGTAGACTTTTAAAGGGGAAAAAATTGGAGCTGTTTTAATGGCCATTCGAGCCATTGGTCCTGGGATTTTGTCTGTGTTGAGAAAAATAGTCATTTGCTGTTGGTACTTTTACTCTTTCTTGTTTGGTACCCTGTGGTTTTCCTAGTAGGTGTGACTTTTATGAATTGTATTCATTTGTTTCACTTATACCTTGCCTTTGTCTCCTGTGGGGACAAATCATTCTTGTCTCCTCCATTTTATCGTCACAACAACCCTGGGAGGTAGGTTAGGCTGAGAGTGTGCGACTGCCCCAAGGTCACACATAAAGGTTCCGTGGCAGAGTGGGAATGCAAATCTTGATTCTTCCAGATCCTCAACTGCTGAACTACGCTGGGATATGGGGTAGAGATTTGGTGGTCAATCGTGTGTTAGGCCATTTATTGTTAATGTAATTGCATATCTTCTCCTCCCCAGCCTGAACAAAGTACTCAGTGGTTTGTAGCCGGTGTGCTTTGCACTGTTGCAGAGTTCTTTATTCTCTTTTGATTACACCTCCTTAGAAATGTGGACCATTTCCTACAATGCATTGACTTTTGAAATAGGGTTTGGGTTTTTTTACGTTTATTAACAGCATCGAAAAGGGGAGTTAGGAGAGGGAGCAGCAATTGTACCTTCCTTGATGGATGAATCCCAGTGCGAGTTCCACGGGGACAATAGGGTAAAGGATGGAAAGAAGACAAGAGAACCCAGACTAGTTAACCTTATTAGAACAACAATTTAAAACAAAGCTTCCTAATCTCCGTTCACTGGCTTTCATTCTCTGGTTCAATTCCAACTGCACTCTTCTCTCTTTTTTTTCTCTAGCACCATTAATGTTGGCTGCATGTGTTTTATTTTTGTTGCCAGATGCATTCATTCAACCCTTTATATTCCACCCATCCTCAAAGGGGGGCTCAGGATGGCACACATGGATGGAATGATTCCCGTGTTTTCCTTTCAACAGCTCTGTAAGGTTGGTTAGGCTGAGAGAGAAAGATTGGCTTAAGGATTCCCAGTGAAACTCATGGTTTGGACAGGACCCCAGGTCTTCCCGTCCAAGTCCAACACTCTGACAGCTGCATCAAATGGCAAATAGGAATTGTCTGTGCTTCATTTTTCTTGAACGTTTATTGTCACAGCAACAGTGGATTTAATGGCAGAGTGTGGTATTTACACAATGCCAATTCATGTTTCAGGCCGTAGGAAAATTCAGCAGAAGTCTGCACACAAGCATCCAGCTAAACCAGGGATTCTAAACATTTTGGTCTTTTATTTTTAGAAAATGAAAAAATGGTGCAGACGTTAACAGAGGAAAATGTTTCAATGAAGAACCGACTCGAAGATATGAAACCGGGCAGTGTCCAACCAAGGTAGTTAAAGAGAGGGAAATGGACTAAATTGATTTGTGAACATCTGATGTTGCTGCACATCTATTGTCTATGCTGGCCTGCAGTGGCTCTCCAGATCTCAGGCAGATAAAAGTTCTTACCCCACACATTCGTCCTGAGTTCTTTTAAAGTGAAAGTGAGAGGCATCATCCCTGGGACTTTCTGTTTCAAGCAGATTGCCAGCACTGAGCCACAGCACATCCAGGTTCAGAGTATTTTATTTTTGTGTGCTTTTTAGATCATTGTCCGAGGGCTGTGTGTCGAAACCTTGCACTTCCTGTGATGGAAAAGCCTTGGAAGAAATGCGTTCCCAATATATAAAAGCTGTGGGCAAAATTAAGAGTAAGTGACAACCATAGGTTCCTGATTGTTTTCTAACCCATTCGCCTGTTTTGCATGCAGTAACAGAGAATGAAAACAAGACTGCAAGTGAACTGACCTGCTAATGCTGATTGGCCACTCCTTTCCAATCTCTTTCATTTTGTTTAAAAATCATGACATTTGGTTTAAATTGTCATTGTGCATCCACTCGTTAAACTTGTTCCATATACGTCCAGAGAATATAGCCTTTGTTTACGTCAGAAATGTATACCATATTGTTTGTAGGCGACATGCTTCGTTATATTCATGAAAGCAAAGAGAGAGCGGCAGACATTATTAAAGCAGAAGTGTTGAGGGAACGCCAGGAGACCGCCCGGAAAATGCGCAAATATTATCTGATTTGTCTTCAGCAGCTTCTGATTGATGATGGAAAGAATGAAGGGTATGTTCTTTCTGTAGGCATTCTGTAGACATTTTTCTATAGGATATTTTTGTTTTCCCAGCATATTTCTTTTGTGGTTTTCAGGCATGTAAGTGTATAACCCACATATAAAATTTTTACAATGGAATCCTAAACAAACTTGCATCCTTCTAATCCCATAGATTTTAGTGGACTTAGAGGGCTCTAACTCTGTTTAGGATTGGGCTGTTAATTGCCTGTAAGACCATCAAGTGCCTTCCAAACTTGGTGATTATGGCCACCATTGCTTTTGACCTTTCCAACAAGGTATCTTGGCTGTGCAGTGTTTAAAATCATTGAGGAAGGGAGGAAACCAGGAAACCTTAATGGAAAGGGTCTTAGTTTTGCATGTCTCTAATGGTATGATGTAGACAGGTGCGGGATGAAATAGACTGCAGGAACATTGGATGCTCCTTTCCCTGCGGCAGAATTTGTTCCTGCAACATAGCCAACTTGATGTAAAAACAAAACACCAACGAGACAGTTCCCTTGAAGTGAACAGGGCAGTGCAGGAGCAATGAGTTTTACAAGATTGCAGGGTTCCCATTTTTTATGGAAAGGAAGCAGTGATCTTGCACAAGTCCCTGAGTGTCTCCTGCTTTTCACAAGCATAGAACACATTATCTGATTGAGAGGTCCCTCCCCCCTTTAAACTCAAGTTTGCCATCACATACCATTGGAACTGGCTCAGAGTGAAAGTGCTTCCTGAGAAATGGATGATTTCACTGTCTGGACATCTTTTTCATGTTCTCCATAAAACTTCAGAGGTCTGCCGCACCCCTTCCTCTCACCAGCCTCTTGTTTTAAGTCCCTTGCAGTGCAGTCCCCTGCAGAATTACTCCAGTCAAAGCCCACTAACTTCAGTGAGTCAAAGTTTATATGCGAGTCCCCCTCCTCCTCTCCAGTGGAAATAGTGCAGAGAAATGTGTGTATATGGGTGATCATGGGGAATGTTGCCTCTTGTTCCCAGCGGGGCTAGGCTGCTCATAGTGTCAGGTGGGTAGCTGCAGTAGAACAGCAAGTTTTGAGTCCAGGGGTAGCTTTGACTCTTGAAAGCTTATGCCCTGGAAAGCCTCCCAAGTCTTCGGGGTGCTACTGGGCTCCATTCGAACTATTCCATAGTGTCAGTGGTTGGTATCCTGCCACTGCACAACAGAGGTCTTCCATGGCTCTTTCTTCCCCCCAGTTCGTTGGTAGAGAGCAGGAAATGGCAGCCGCCCTTGTGTCCGTCTGCATCTGGGAAGAACCACAGTTTATGAGTTTTATCCCTAGGTCTCTGAAATCTCACCTTCAGTATTACTGTAAATTATTCTGCAGACTTCCATAAATTTAAAAAGCCCAACTGATGAATTGTTCTAAAAACCAAAAAGGAGTATTTCGAGTAACAGTTTTGTTTAGTGGTGGAAAGTGCTGTCAAGTCACAGCTGACGTATGGAGACCCCACAGAGATTGCAAGGCCAGAAACCAATACAGGTGGTTTGCCAGTTTGATGCAGTGGTTAGGAGCACAGACTGTAATCTGGGAGCAGTGTTCCCTCTAAGCTGAGTTAGTGTGAGATAGCTCACAGTTTTTTCGATTCCGGCTCACACATTTTTGTCTTAGCTCAGGAAGGATGGCTCCAGAGCAAACTAATTTATGCAGTAGCCAGATTGCTCGCTCACAACTTTAATGCCAGTAGTTCACAAAGTAGAATTTTTGCTCACAAGACTCCACAGCTTAGAGGGAGCATTGCCTGCGAGAACCGGGTCTGATTCGTCACTCCTCCATATGCAGCTGCTAGTGTGACTTTGGGTCAGTCACAAGTTCTGTCAGAGCTGTTCTCTCAAGAGCAGTCCTTGAAAGAGCTCTCTCAGCCACACCTACCTCACAGGGTGTCTATTGTGGGGAGGAGATTTTAAGCCGCTCTGAGACTCCTTCTGCGTAGTGACCCTGGACTTCTTGGCAGTCTCCCACCCAAATACTGACCCTGCTTAACTTTCAAGCTCTGGTGAGATTGGGCTAATCGGGCCATCCAGGTCAGGGCCAGCTTCACTTAAAGTGACGTTTTTAAAATTGTTTTCAGAATCTAAATAAAACAGAGGTTTTTTTCCTATCTCAAAAATAACCTGACTGAAAGGCGCCTGTGCTTTGCTAGTGCAAAACTGTCAAGGAAGAGCTGATCTTTTAGAATCTCTCTTTTCCTGGGGGTTTCCTACAGGGCTGAGAAGAAAATAATTTGTGCTGCTAGCAAACTTGCTACCATGGCCCAAATCCTAGAAACTCCAGTGCGTAACTCACCGCAGAGCACAGCTGCTCGCTCAGGTATGGTGATATGAAGGTTGGTTTTCAATTTTTCAGCTCTGCATTCTGTTTTGGTAACGAGGGAGGTCAGCATTTTGCTTCTCTGCTTCTATAGCAAACAGCAGCCTGTGGTTGTACAGCCAAATATGGCTCATTATAGAACAACATAAAGGTAAAGGTTCCCTTGCTCGAAAGCCAGTCAAATCCGAATCTAGGGTTGCGGTGCTCATCTCCGTTTCAAAGCCGAAGAGCCAGCGCTGTCCGAAGACGTTTCCGTGGTCATGTGGCTGGCATGACTAAACACCAAGGCTCACGGAACGCTGTTACCTTCCCACCGAAGTGGTACCTATTTATCTATTTGCAATTTCTTGCTTTCGAACTGCTAGGTTGGCAGGAGCTAGAACTAGAGATGGGAGCTTACTCCATCATGCGGCACCCGGGTCTCGAACTGCTGAACTACTGACCTTCCACAGCCTGCAGTTCAGCGTCTTAACCACTTGAGCCACCGCAGCAACATAGGGCTCCTCAAAAAAGAAAGTGCACCATTTTAAGTTAAGGAATAGTGGCAGACTAGGTAGGATGCTAGAATTATGCAAAGGGAATGGCAGGTAAAGATTTCGATGGGGCTGAGGCGCTTCTTTTAAAAGTTTTACAAAGAGGGAAGTGATAGCGATGGAGGGCTGCCAGTATTCCAAGTGTGAACCAATGCACAAATTTATGCCAGTGTGCTAAAACACACAAGGTGCTCCTGTGTATGTATGCATGATCAAGGACTCACAACAGCCAGTGTTTGAGTTGTAGAAACTTCCTGGATTATTAATTCACATGTCAGTTATCAGTGATATTGTGTATTTTTCAGATCTTCGACGTGGTCTCTGTGCTTCACACCCATGGGATGCAGTGCGCCTGCACTGGATCGATCGGTATTGTAGCAAGCTCTTAACGGATTTTCGCGCCCAGACCTCAGGTATGCGCAGGAACCCCACCACGCATGCCCAGAGGGTTGGGCACGGACATCCCACCAGTTCCTTTCCTCCAGATTGGCTACTGCTCGCTAATCTCCCATGGGTGTGAAACACAGAGACCACGTCAAAGATAAACAGGTTGCTTACCTGTAACTGGTGATCTTCGAGTGGTCATCTGTGTATTCACACCACCCGCCCTGCTTCCCCGCTGCTGTCAGCTTCTACATTTTTCATAGGGGTTGATTTGAAGAAACTTGCGGGATGTCCGCGCCCATCCCTCTGGGCATGCGTAGTGGGGTTTCTGTGCATGCCTGAGGTCTGGGCGCAAAAATCCGTTAAGAGCTTACACAGAGACCACGTCGAAGATCTGAAAAATACACAATATCACTGATAACTGACATGTGAATTAATAATCCAGGAAGTTTCTACAACTCAAACACTGGCTGTTGTGAGTCCTTGATCAAAAATCCGTTAAGAGCTTGCTACAATACTGATCAATCCAGCACATGCGCACTAGATCCCATGGGTGTGAATGCACAGATGACCACTCAAAGATCACTAGTTAACTGGTAAGCGACCTGTTTTTATGCTTTGTCGTACGGGTGCTTTTTTGATTGCTCTGAATGTTGCCATAGTTTTGCTGTAGCTTACTGACTTCAGTTTATCACATACACCACTTGAAACTTTTCAGTGCATTTGAAGGGTTTTTAAGCTCATCAAAGGAATGCTGGAAACTTGGAAGTATTAATCATATTCACTTGTGGTTTTATGTTTTTTGTTTTCCTTTCTTTTCTTTTTTTTAGCCCTGTCCTGCAATTCCAAGCCATTCCCCGGGGCTGAGGATCCTAAAGGAAATCATGTGCAGCAGCCTAAGCAAGGCCCTGCAGAGGTTCAGGCTGGGGGCAGAAGCATTGCCCAAAAGGCCAACCATCATGTTGGTCAGAAACGTATACCTTGTAGCCTAAGGGAGCAGCTTGATGCTGAAAGCCCACCTCCTTTGCCTTCCAATACCCTGGCTAGTGGGAAGACTTTCAAACAACTGGACAATGTTTTGGTAGGTGCAGTAACCTCAGCAGCGGCTTCCCACAGGGACAGGAATGCAGACAAAGGTCTGTCTCACACTGTTGATGCTCCGGCGTTCCAGAATCGTTCCCCTCGCATTTCTCAAACAAAGTTCCAAAATATGAATCCAGCTAGCTGTAGTGATGGCAGATCTGACTCTAGGGGAGCTCAAGTAATGCCTCAGAACCAAAACGAAAGGAGAGTCTTAAAAGAAGTCGGGTGCCTCCAGTCCACCAGGTATCAGAAGCCAGTTCCTAGGAAAGCTAATGGCTTTGATGTTCAGGAAACTCCAGTAAAGGATGACGGAAGCTCTGCCAATTGTAGCCTGGTTACTGAGCCTCTGCACTTGGAAAGCATGTCTTTTTACCCTGCTCAGAAAGCACATCCTAGCACACAAGTTGAATTCTGCCAACAGTTTCGCACAGCAAACCAATTTTCTCAAGGCCAGGAAGGTGCTGCTGGTTTTTACCAACAAGCCAGCAGTCAAAGAGACAAGGTTCTTGGCACTACAGACCAAGCCTTAAATTGCAGCGAAGGCCATCGGAAGGTGAACCTGAGTCACGTGCCATGTCAGAATCCAGGCAAATTAAGTCCTCGTGCTCAGCAAAGTGATGCAATGTCGTGTTTGAATGCAGGAAGAAGCTACAACTTGCTGCATTCAAGGAAACAGATACATGATGTGAAGGATTTTCAGCAGGACAGTGGTTTTGACAGCCCCCAGATTAACTTTGATTAACATCAGAGTCTCTCTGAACAGTCTCCGTAAAAGAGACACTTTAAATATATTTGAAAGAAAGTCATGGAAGGAGCAGCCGATTGTGCCACAAACTTCTGAGGTGCCTTTTTATGTTTATTGCCTTCCTAATTTGACTTACATGAACAAACCAACCCCAAATATTTATGCAAGTTTTGGATACGTCTTTACTATCTGGCTTAACTATGTATAAACTGTCTTTTTTAAAATATAAATGTTTGTGTGTCTGTGTGTGTATGTGAGAAATTATCTATTTTTATACCTGAAAGATTTAGCGTGCAATACAATGCAACCTTTATTTATACAGAAATAAAACTGACTTTTTTGTGGTCTGTTTTGTCAAATTGTCATGGAACTTTCCCCAGCCTTAGGACCAATTTTACCCTTGCTTATTTAGTTGCATTTCCACCATTCCTCAGTGGAACTGATGGTGGTAGTGCTCGTTGGCAGTCTCCCATCTGGACACTGGTCAGTCTCGGAATGAAAACAGATCTTAATGTATTGCTGGTAAGTAAGAAGCTCTTGCCCCATTTCAGTCTTCCGTGTGCCCAGCATCAAGTTGAAAGCTGGCTCTCTGCTGCTCTGTGGGTAACTTGGATCTCTTGCGTTATATGATGTGGGCAGACATTGCACTATTGTTCCATGCATAGCAGCACTGTTTAAACGAGTTGCTTAATCTGTGCAAGACCACCCTGGTAGCTCTTCTCATTTGCTTGAAAAACCTGGGGGTTAAGGAGGCACAGGGGTGGTGGTAGAGAGTGCCGTCAAGTCACAGCTGACTCATGGTGACCCTTTAGGGGTTTCAAGGCAAGAGACCAACTGAGGTGGTTTGCCATTGCCTGCTGCTGCATAGCAGCCCTGGACTTCCTTGGTGGTCTCTGTGAAGGTCGGGGTCTTTAATATTAATGTTGAAACAGAAGTGGATCAACCTAGGTGGTCTCTACCGCAGCTCTCCACTTTACAGACGTAACCCCAGTGGTTCAGAGAAGTTCAGCACCCATGAGGAAAACAGGGAAAAGAACAGTAACTTTTATGTACTTCTAGGTATAGGGGAACAAAGTGGTTCAGAAAAGAGGATAAAAACTGTTTACAGTTGGAACATAGTCTTGCTGTGCCCATTCACTTAGGCTACAGTTGGTAATCGAGGACTATAGGCCAATAAAGTTTCTGTTCTGTTCAGATCATTGAGGAGGGTAGAGAGCAGTTAGCAGCCAAGTTTGTATTCTTGAGGTGAGTATTAGGTGGCTTTACTTCAGCCTCAGGATTTTCACAGTGTAAATGTGAGCTCCTCTCAGAAACTACAGATGTTTCACTAGTTTCCCTTGGAAATTGGGGCTTTGAGTCTTTTCCTCAAATTCACTTGCTTTAGAGCCAGTTTGGTGTAGTGATTACAGGTATGGACTTTAATCTGGGAGAACCAGGTTTGAGCCCCCACCTCTTCACATGCAACTGCTGGTGTGACCTTGGGTCAGTCATGGCTTTCTCAAGAGCAGTTCTCGAAAGATCTCTCTCAGCCCCACCTACCTCACAGGGGAGACTCCTTTGGGTAGTGAAGGGCAAGGTATAAATCAAATCTCTTCTCCTTTATCACCAAACACAGGTTCTGAGACTTCCAAAGCCCTCTGAGGCAGGTTCTCTCCCTGCTAACACTCTGGAGATGCAAACCCTTCATTGGTTTACTCCCTTACATCAAGCAAAATCTGAGACAGGATCAATGCTCCCTCTAAGCTATGGAGCCCTGTGAGCAAAACTTCTACTTTGTGAGCTACTGGCCTTAAAGTTGTGAGCAGGTGATTTGGCTATGGCATAAATTAGTTTGCTCTGGAGCCATCCTTCCTGAGCTAAGACGAAAATGTGTGAGCCGGAGCCAGTTTGGTGTGGTTAAGTGCGCGGACTCTAATCTGGGAGAACCGGGTTTGATTCCCCACTCCTCCACTTGCACCTGCTGATGTGGCCTTGGGTCAGTCACAAGCTCTGGCACAGCTGTCCTTGAAAAAGAGCAGTTTCTGTCAAGAGCTATCAGCCCCACCCACCTCACAGGGTGTCTGTTGTGGGGAGGGGAAGGGAAAGGAGTCTGTAAGCCGCTCTGAGACTCCAAGTGAAGGGCGGGGTATAAATCCAATCTCCTCCTCCTCTTCTAAAAAACTGTGAGCTAGCTCACACTAACTCAGCTTAGAGGGAACACTGGACGGGATCCCTCCAGTTTCTCTCTCTGAAGGCTGAGACCCTATCTGCCTGAGCTGACAGTGTCACAGCTTTTTCCTCTCTTATTTCCCCCCTCGCATCTGGCTCCTCCAGTCCCTTTCCAGGGATTCTTGTCTGGCTGCTAGCTGTTCTGCTCTCTCTCCAAACAAGACTAAAGAGGATAATTGAATTTCAGAAAGGGACAGGACCTTTGCCCATCCGCCACAGTCACATCCAAGCACTAACCGGGGCCACCTCGGCTTAGCTACTGAGATCTGATGGAGATCGGCCTAGCCTGGGCTACCCATGCCAGAGCCAATACAGACGTACAAGACTGAACACGTTCTATTGTGCCATCAAGTGCACTTATCCATATTGGAATACCACACATGAGTCGGGGGATTACTTTGGCCTTGAAGACTTTTAATGCAGCTGGTATGGATTGATTGCCTCTGGTGTAGAAGAATCGGGAAATGGCAGAAGCGTTTAAATTGGCCATATTTATTGCCGACTTACGCTGCACAGACCAAGATGCATTATACTGGAAGTGCAGACCTAAGCATCTAATTTTTTTAACTTGTTCAATTGGTTTGCCTCCAATTGTCCATTTGATTTTTCATGGTTTAATGGTAATTTATGTTATAAAATATGAAAGGCATCTATTTAGTGAATGCTTTAAGCCAACTTTGGAGCAGGACAATAGTACCATGTCGTCCGCATACAGTAGTAGAGGGACATGGACAGAGCCCAGTTTAGGAGCATGGCAATCAACAGCTTTGAGGTAAGGGGAGAGATCATTAAGGAACGGGTTAAATAGAAAGGGTGCTGATATACAGCCTTGTTTGACTCCTTTTGGAGCTGCGGTGGCTCAAGTGGTTAAGACGCTGAACTGCAGGCTGTGGAAGGTCAGTAGTTCAGCAGTTCGAGACCCGAGTGTGCCGCATGACGGAGTGAGCTCCTGTCTCCCGTCTCTAGTTCCAGCTCCTGCCAACCTAGCAGTTTGAAAGCAAGAAATTGCAAGTAGATAAATAGGTACCACTTTGGTGGGAAGGTAACAGCGTTCCATGCGCCTTGGTGTTTAGTCATGCCGGCCACATGACCACGGAAACGTCTTCGGACAGCGCTGGCTCTTCGGCTTTGAAACGGAGATGAGCACTGCAACCCTAGAATCGGATTCGACTGGCTCTCGAGCAAGGGAACCTTTACCTTTACCTTGACTCCTTTATTTGATGAGATTTTTGAAGTTAATTTTCCTTTCAGTGAACATTTGATTTGGCATTTTGTTGATGTGTATAGCTTTCTTATAAGGTTAAGGAGTCTTATCTATGTTTAGGTGTTGTAGTTTAGCCCAGAGGAGTTCCCTGTTTATTGAATCAAATGCCCCTTTAAGATCTATGAAGGTAGCATATAATGTTACATTGCTTCTTTTAACATACTTATTAATCAGGTGCTCTAATATAATACAGTGGTCTAAAGTGGTTTTCCCTTTACAGAATCCCGGCTGTTCCGGGCCTAAGACTCTCCGTTCTGTCATCCGTATGGTCAGCTTAGGTAGTAGATGTTCGGTGTACAGTTTGCCCATAATGGAAAGCAGGCTGATTGGTTTATAGATGGAGGGAATTGAGCAATCACCTTTTTTGTAAATTGGGACTACAATTGCATTTAACCATGCATCAGGGATAAGGCCAGATTTATCAATCATTGTACAGACATACTAATGTATACATTGAATTCCCACCCCACTGCATGATGGGATTTTCCTTTCACAGAGGTGTACAGTCAGGCAGGCAGGCTTATTCAAGAGGTAGATTTGGGCAGTAGGGGGCGTTGGTGGTCGTGACAGGGAATGATCCCTCCCTCCCCGCTGCACAAGGGCCAAGCTGTGTGATGAGGCTTTCTCAAGGCTATTTGGCTGTGTGAGATGGTACATCTGGTACATCGATATGGCTAATTCAGGCCACCGGTGACATGACCAGGTGATCCTGAGCAAGGCTACTCAGAAAGCAGGTTCTCAAGGCTATTTGGCTGTGTGAGATGGGCACTGCTCTAGTACATCGATATGGCTAATTCAGGCCACCGGTGACATGACCAGGTGATCCTGAGCAAGGCTACTCAGAAAGCAGGTCTATTCAGTAGGGCTCGCTCCCTGGGAAGTGTTCTTAAGAATGTACAGTTCAGCTCTTAATATTCTGCTTTTCAATGACCGTTTTTCTCCCAAGTCACTTCGTAGACAGAGGATGGAGTGTGATGGAACCAAAACACTGGTTTTTACCAGGTTCCAAGGATTCCAGGTACCATTTTCTGTTCTAGAGGGGGAAAGCCCTGACAGAGATATGTTTTGGACCCTCAGCATGTTTTGATGGCATTGGATAGAATTTCTGAGTGGCAACGAGGATTGCATTTGAAGTCTGCAGTGTTTTAAAGATCCAGATAATAGTGTCAGACAGCTAGCTGTGCTTTGCCTATCACTCCTTACACAGCATGAGCCATTGAATTTGGCCTTTGTCTGTTGCTGACATTCCTGTGTAAGCATGAATAGAAGAGAAATCTCACCTTGACCACAAAAGCCACAGAAAGGCTTTTGAACTGTTATGGGGAACTTTTTGCTTTTATTTACGACATTTATACCCCACCTTTCTCCCCAGTGGGAGTTTACATCCTTCTCTCCTCCTTTTTTATCTTCACAACCACCCCCACCACCCTGTGAGGTAGGTTAAGCTGACTGTGTGAGTGGCCCAAGGTCACCCAGCAAGCTTCGGGGATTCGAACCTGCGTCTCCCAGATCCTAGTCCAGCGGTCCACTGTACCTATGCTACTGTAACACACCAGTACAAGGTAACTGCGGATGGGTTTTATTTAAAACTCTGTCAATGAAGATTCTTCCATGACCTTTAAAACAAAAACCCTCTTCCCTTCTCAAAAGAAAAATCTGCAGGCCAGCAAGGTTT